CTCACAGGCATCCCTCACGCCCAGAGACACCAAAAAGCGGTTTCCATGACAACGCTGCTGCAAATGTTATATATAAACGTGTGTGTGTGTGTGTGTGTGTGTGTGTGTGTGTACACAGCCACACAGAGATGCACGGAAATAAACTCTTGGCACAATTTTTTTCCTGTTCCAAACGTGAAATAACCTGCAAGGATTGATTGCTGGGACAGAGACAAAGGAGGCTTTGTACAAACCTGCTTCCAATGGTCTGGCCTTCAGTGATGCACACCTGTTTTCATGTGGGTCTGTTTTGTTTCCCGCACCTGGAATGCTATAGTAGATACTCAATAAGTGATCGTTGAATGAATGAGTAAATGATAGATAAGTGAAAGGAAGGAAGGGAGAGAGGGGAGGGAGGAGGGAGGGAGATAGAAGCAGCCTGGAACGTCAGCGCTGGGAGGGCTCCTACTGAGCATCTAATCTAATCTAACCCTGTGTTTTTCTGTTGGAGAAACTGGGGCTCAGAAAAGGGAAGGAGTCTTGCCAAAAGCCACACAAATAATTACTAGAGGGCCCCAGTCCTGGCGACTCATGAAGTAAGCACCTAATGTAAGTCAAATTTCTATCTGCATAGTAAACAAATGTTAAGCAATTATTCTGCGCCAGCAACTGTCCTTACTTACAAATATTCTCTTAATCTGCAACCACACAAGAGGTGTGTTAGGATGTTCACTTAAGGGGGATGGAAACTGGGGCCCTGAGAGGTAACTCACCTGAGCAAGGCCACACAGCCAGTTTGTGGTTGGAGCAGGGATTAGACCCAGGTTCTGAGCCCCCGCGTTACACAGCCTCTCTCTGCAATGAGGGCCCAGGGCCTGGGTCAGACGCAGGAGCAAAGGGGAAGCAGTGGCGGGACTGACAGCTCGTCTCGCAGAAACTCGGGGCTCAACCAGGAGAAGTAACCTGCTTACGCGAGCCGTGGGGAAGGGACTAAAACTCACATTTCAGGCTCCCAGTCCAGGGTTCCTTCAAGTTTACACACTGCCTTCTAACAAAACACCGAAGGAACTGAAGGCTGGCTTCTGTCAACCGTCTAACTGGGCGGGGAGGGGACTCCCCTGGGGAGCCCCGTGAGTTCCAGAATTCAGTCCACAGAAATGGACTGGGGCTCATTCCAAGCGTCTCCTTAGGGCTTTGCGCCCTCTGGAGGTCATGTCTTAAAACCAGAAAGAAACAGTCGGCTGCAACCCCTGGCAAACCCCTCTCTAGAACGGGGTTTTTGCCCTCCTTGCTCTGGAAGGAAATGGAAATGGGACGAGGGCCCAGGTGCAGGCGCTCTGCTGCCCTGGATGTGCCATGCTCCCCTTTGCCCTTGCTTCCTGGCTGATCTCCCTGCTTCCACTCCAGCCCTCCTGCAATCCATGCTCTCTCTGCACAGGCGCAGAACCGCTTTTAAGAAAATCCAAAGATGATCACGTCACTCCCCTGCTTATACTCTCCAGTGGCTTCCCATTGACCTGGGGCTAAAGCCCAGGCCTCGTTATGGCCCAAAGGACGCTGCCAGTGGCCACTGCCTCTCTCCACCCTCCTTCTCCCTGACCTCCAGCCTCTCTGACCTGCCAGTTGTTTGTACAGATGTTCAAGCTTCTTCTAATTCTGTTCCTAACACACGCTGCTTCCTTTGCCCGGGGCTCTCTTCTCTGCCCTTCCCCCAGCAAATTCCTGCCTGTTCTTCAGGTCTCAGCTCAAGGGCACTTCCAGGTGCAGAGTGCTCTTTACAATGGCAATTTCTTTAACTTTTTTCCTTCTTATTTATTGAGAGGAAGGGTGTAGATATGCCACGGAGTCTATTGTGATTTTCTAAACTGTCCTATCAACAGTTGTTTTACCCTGGTCATTTCTTACTTCATATATTTGAGCTTTTTATTCTTCTTCATTCAGTTAGAGGTTTATTTTTCGATACTGTTTTTGCAAAGAGCTAAGATGTTGACATATTAATTTAAACTAGTGATTTTCTATATTCTGCATCATTAATATCTACCTTTATTATTTCTCTTGCGCTCTCTTTTGGGTTATTTTTCTAGCTTTCCGAATTGGGAATTTAAATCAATTTTCAGTCTTTTCATTTTATTGATGTTAGTGTTTAAGGCTATGAATTTTCTTCTCACCATTGCTGTCTATATGCCCCATAGATTCTGATATGTACTTTTTATTATTATTTTTCAGGAATTCCGTGACTTGCTATATTACCCCTTTTGCCCAAGAGTGCAGAGAACTTTTAGCTTTTTTGTGTGTTTTTTTAAAAATAGATTTTTATTGATTTCAGAGAGAGAGGAAGGGAGAGGGAGAGATAGAAACATCAACNCTTTTTTGTGTGTTTTTTTAAAAATAGATTTTTATTGATTTCAGAGAGAGAGGAAGGGAGAGGGAGAGATAGAAACATCAACGATGAGAGAGAATCATTGATTGGCTGCCTCCTGCACGCCCGGACTGGGGATCGAGCCCACGACCCGGGCATGTGCCCTGACCAGGAATGGAACTGTGACCTCCTGGTTCATGGGTCGATGCTCAACCGCTCAGCCACGTCGTCTCTGGGCTTGTTTTTAATGTCCAATTTTATTGCATTTGATAAGAGAGCACTGATTTCACATTACAGAATCTACTGTTTTCTTTGTGTCTGAATATATTATCAATTTTTGTCTTACAGTTTTCTTCAGCTTTATGCTTGCTTTTGGGGGAGAATTTTTATTAGTTGAAATGCTCTGAATTGCATTTCTTTTCTTTCCTAACAGTAGTTTTGAACGCACGGGATCTGCCTTTTTCTGGTCCCTGCTCCTTCACGGACAGGACTCCCCACGCAAGGCCCTCTGCTGTGTGTCCTGCAGTCTCATGAATGGTGTAGAGGGGGGAGGCGGGAAGGTGGTTTTTACTTCGTTTGGTTTTTAGGATTCTTAATTTTTCCTTCTTAATTCCTTCTTTCCCTTCACTACCGCATCTACAAGGGCACCACCCCTACCCTATAAAACTGATTTTCCCCGAGAATCAACGCTTCTCCATTCTTTCCAGACTCTTCCCTGTTGCTGGTGCTGCTGGGGGCTTTTATGCCCCAACTAGGTTCACTCTTTTGGCCTCTGGTGTTGGACAGTCCGAGAGTGATTTCATCCATCCCTCTAAGATCGCCACACTGTTGTACCAGTTTTCACAATGTCCCTTAAACCTCCCGTCCATCACTTTCTGAGCATACAGGCTTGTAGCTACACAGCGGGAGCCCTGTAGGGATCTGAATTACTTCTCTACTTCAGGTAGTTCGAGGTTCACGTGTGGTTTTATTTCCTCTCTTTGTTGATTTACATTATTTTTGGGGGGAGGGTAAGTCATGAAGACCCAAAGTTAGGGAGACACCATTTTCCTCCCAGCGTGGAAGTCCCGGTAAATGCCCTTAAAATGTAACACTGTCAAATTGGCCCTGGCAGTGGGTGACAGTACCGGGTTTCCTACATCCTCAGCAACACATCAAACTTCATCAATTTTGCCAGTCTGACGGGTGAAAAATATTTCTTCATTGTGGCTTTAAATATATTTATTGCTCATATTATTACCGAGATTATCTTCTCAAAATTTTTTCTTTTGTCTTTCTGTATTTTTTCTTCTGTATTGTTTAAATATTTCGCTCTCTCTTTTACCAGGTTGGGTTTTTTTCAGTGCATCTGGATCATTAGCTCTGTACGGTGCATTTTTTTTTTTCCTCCCAATCTGTCACTTGTCTTTTAATTTTACTTACTGTATCTTCTTTACAAAAGAATTTTTAGACTCTTTTTAAAAATTTATCTTCAATTATAACAGACATCCAATATTTTATTAGTTTCAGGTATACAACATNCTTTTTAAAAATTTATCTTCAATTATAACAGACATCCAATATTTTATTAGTTTCAGGTATACAACATAGTGGTTAGACATTTTTTTCCGTATGAAGTGAACACCCCATAAGTCTAGTACCCATCTGACACCACACAGTTATCACAATATTATGGACTGTATTCCCTATGCTGTACATTACATCTCTGTGACTATTTCTGTAACGCAATTTGTACTTTTTATCAGCTCCCCAACCCCCCCTCATCTGGCCGTCATCAGTTTGTTCCTATAGCCTTGTAGTAGTTTGATATCAGGTAGCATGACACCTCCAACTTTGTTCCTTTTCAATATTGCTTTGGCTATTTGGGTCTTTTGTGGTTCCATATAAATTTTAGGATTAGTTGTTTTAGGTATGTAAAAAAATGCCATTGTTTTTTTGTTTGTTTGTTCCTCACTGGAGGATATTTCTTCCACGGAGTTTTAGAGAGAGTAGAGGGAGGGAGGGAGAGAGAGAAACATTGATGTGAGAGAGACACGATTGGTTGCCTCCCACACATGCCCCAACCGGGGCGCTGGGGTCAAACCTGCAACCCAGGTANTTTCCACGGAGTTTTAGAGAGAGTAGAAGGAGGGAAGGAGAGAGAGAGAAACATTGATGTGAGAGAGACACGATTGGTTGCCTCCCACACATGCCCCAACCGGGGCACTGGGGTCAAACCTGCAACCCAGGTATGTGCTCTTCACCGGGAACCGAACCTTCGACCCTTAAGAACTCGGGTTGACACTCTAACACTAAGCCACACTGGCCAGGGCCACAGTCCTCTTTGATGGAAGAGTGGCCTGGTGGGCAAGGCANACTGGGGTCAAACCTGCAACCCAGGTATGTGCTCTTCACCGGGAATCGAACCTTTGACCCTTAAGAACTCGGGTCGACGCTCTAACACTAAGCCACACCCGCCAGGGCCACAGTCCTCTTTGATGGAAGAGTGGCCTGGTGGGCAAGGCAGAGTAACCTTCCGGCGTTTGTCAGGATCCGAGGCTTCTGTTCTGGGGAGGAGGGGCAGCTGGTCTCGATGACACCGCGGGGTGGGGGCGGGGGCGGTGCCCTCCTACAGCCCCATAGATCACACACTACTCAGAAGTCACAGACTCAGTCACATGGCCCACGGTACAAGTACTTTATTTCAATTACAATAGTGCCACACCAAAACTACAGTAGCACAAGACATAAGAATACAAAAAATAGATTCCCAGCTCCAAAGCCCATGGCCATGTACCTGCAGAGAAGCCGGCCTAATGGCTCCTTGCGCTCAAGGGGGGTCTCCTCCCCGTGCCCCCACTCACAGCACACCAGGAAGCAGTGAGCGCGAACTACATTCCCTCTCCCTGGACCCCCAGCCCTAGGACACTCGCTTCTGGCTGGGAGGTGCTGACAGACACTCTCAAGGACTGCGGCCCACGGGGCAGGGAGGGCGCGGAGCCTGGGAGAGCCCACTCTGTGGCAAGGCGCGTGTGGCGGGCTCCTGGCCTAGCTCCCTGTCTGGCTGCAGTCCTACCTTCCTCTGAAGAGCTCCCAGGCATGCTGCTTGTGGCGACCAGGGAACCCACTCCCCACACCCTTGCCCCAGCTCCGGGGCTGATCTGAAGGTGAGCGAGGCAGTGGCTGAGCTGTCACTTCTCTTGGGCAAGGAGGGTCTGGCTTCCTGGACAAGGCGAGTGCCTGTGGGAGCGGCGTCTGGCCAGGGGCCTGGGCTGTGAGATAGGAGACCGTGGTGGGCACCGGCTGCTTCTACCTCAGTCACAGGTACCCCCTTCTCCAGAGGACCAGAGTGGGGCTCCAACTGGCTCCACCCGGGGGGAGCTTCTGAACTGTGGCCTCAGGGAGGGGACGGCACTCCTGGTCCCCTGACACCACAGGCCAGACTGCCTGGGTTTGGGGAATGTTCCCTTCATGTCTCCCATGGCTGAAAGCAATTCCCAAGAAGAGGAGACCAAATAGCTACAAGTATTGTCTTGATTCAACCCAAGGGGCTGAGGGTGGGATGGAGCTCAGGGCAAGCTCAGGGGTTCCTGACCCCTGACCCCGGTGCCACTGACCTGTAGCCAGAGCTTCTGCGCTGGTGTGAGAGGCAGCTCTGCGGGCATGGGGAGTGGGGGGTATGGCCTTGTGTTCCAGTCAGGACACTTGGGGGCTTCGCTGAGGAGGCCAAGGACCCGAGGGGGGGGCTGTCTCCTTGGGGTGGAGCCCAGGGCTGCAGCCTCAGATAAGGCACTAGAGAACAGAGGGCAGGGATGGCGGCGTCTTGGGAGCCGGAGCCAGGCCCAGGCCGGGGTGGATGGAGCTCGGGGGGAGCTGGGACCTGTGGGGGATGAGAGCTACTTTCTCTTTTCCTCCTCTGGGAAGGAGGGTCCGCAAGGTAGACTCCCAAGTGGCTGGGGTGGGGGTGCTGCAGAAAGGCAACAGGCCCCCTGAACAGACACGGGGTGCCAAAACAGGAGGGACGGACAGAGTATAGGAAAGCACGTCTGATGCGGGGCTCGGCCTCACAGGGCTCCTATGGTCCAGATCCAGGGTGCTTGCGCACCCAGCTGGGTTTGAGGGCCCTGCCCTGACCTCATGCTGCTACAGCCATCAGGGCCCTGCTGCAACTTTGGAGATCAGACCTTCCTTGCTGGGGTTCCCACTGTTGGGCTCTGGGGACACAAGCACGTACACTAAGAAGGGTGGCGCCTTTGAGCTGGGCCTCCCCGAGCTGGCCGCTTCCTGCCTGGCCTCCACGCCTTTCCTCTCGACACAGGCCATGGAGGCTGGCGTCCTATGTTCCAAGGGCTGAGGCAGCTCTATTTGGGGACCTGCTCAAGGGCCGGGGATCGCTGCCCAAGCTCAGCCTTGCAGTGAGTGAGGAAGAGAGGGGGGTAAATCAGTGGGGCTTCCCTTGTCCACAGGTTACTTAGAAAAACAGAACACAATAAATATACCAATCCTCTCCTTAAAAAAAAAAAAAAAAAAAGTGTTTTAAATGCATTATTTCCCTGAAGATTTCCAGTGTATTCCACAATGTTTAAAAAATAGTTTCCCCAAAAAATATATATTTAAAGCATTTGACACAGTGGTATTTGTGGTGTATCTGGTGCTGGATGTGGGCGTGGGGCTGTGCCCACTGCCCTTGTCGGCGTGGGGCCCAGGCCTGGGGAGCCACCAGCCTGACACCCAAATGCCCTTCAGAGTTGGCGCACGCGTGCCTGGGATGACGGTATTCACGGGGATCAAACCTCGGATTATGCTGAGAACCCGCATCACAGGCTGTTCCGGCTGAAAACCCTCCAGTGCGGGGGAGGCGGCCCTGGGTGGCCAAGGGGGCTGGGTGACACCCTGGGCGCTGGACGGAGGGGCAGCCTCGCTGGCTCCACCCTGTGGGCTCACCCTCACCCCCGCCTCCGTCTTGGCTGTCGTGCGCGCCCCTCACCAGACTTCACACTTGTGGTGGGGGTTCATGGGTGAGCCGAGCGGGCAGTGGAAGTGCTCCGAGAACTCCTTCGAGTTGGACACAGAGCCGATGACTCGGAAGCGGGAGGGGCTGTGGGGATCGGTGATGAGGCCTTCGTGGATGCTCTCGGGCGTGCGGACAGAGCACCAGACCTTCGTGAGGGTGACAAGGGAGAGGCCGGGGTCACTGTGAGGTCCTGTGGTGGCCAGACTGGCCCCGTGCATAACAACAGACGAATGAGCCCCCCACACGGTTCTAGGAGCCCCGGGAGTCAGGAGGGCCTGACAAGTGGTTAAGAAAGAAACAGTGGCTGGTGTGTCCCCTATCCCCGCATCCTCTACTGCAGTTGTCTCCAACTGTGCTCCTGGGCATCTGTGTTAGATTTCATCTGAACAAAGGATCCGGTCCCCAAACCACTTTGAAAACCTCAGATGGAGCCCACATCACTCCCTGGGCAGAACAACTGTTTAATGGCGGTAGCCCTGAACCAGTAGAAGGCTACATGCTGAATGCCAGCTCAAGCGACAACCTGGGGCACACTGAGATTAAGAAATTTCTAGAACCCCAGAACCAGAAGGACCCTTAGTGATCGCCCTGACCTGTCACCTACCTGATGCAGAAATCCTTTTACTAGCACTCTCGGCCCTTCCTGGACCCTCTCTACCAACAGGAAGCTCGCTGCCTTGCAGGGTAGCTGCCCCTGGACAGCCCAATATACTTGGAGGTTCTCAACCGAAGGGAACTTGACTTTTGGCTTTCAGAATTCATGGAACAGCAAGATGCCCGAGTTTGGCTTTTTTTCCTAGTGAACTCACCTGCGCAAACCCCAGGAAGAAGAGCTGGTTATTGGTGAGCCCCAGGGTGGGCAACGTCTGCTCAGGCCCATTTGTCTGCACCCAGTTCTGGTAGGCCTGGGAAGACAGAAAACAGAGCTCAGGGCTCCCATGACGTAAGAGCTAGCAGGGTGGTGAGGGAGGGGCTAGCGTGGCAGACGGTGGGAAGTCCCACCCTGCAGAGCTGGCCTCTGGGGTCTGGATGTCAGCTCTGACGGCTCAGCTCAGCCCAGAGGAGCCGTCTTCCCTACCTGCACTCACTCCGAGGGGAGTGCAGTCAACCCTACAGCTTTAAACACCATCTACATGCCAAAGGCTCTCAGAGGCATACTTTGTATATTCAGCTGCCCCAGCTGGACCTCCAAGATGCATCTCCAACTTTACGTGGCACAGATAGAACGGAAGGTCACACACACACACACACACACACACACACACTCTCCCCATTATAGTAAATGGCATTGAGGTCCAAACCCCTGAACAACTCTGATTCTTCACTCTCAATCAAAACACACCCCCAAATCTGACCACCTCTTACGCTCCCCACTGCTCCATCCCATTTCCTGCCTGGACAACCTCGCAACAGCTTTCTAATTAGTCTCCTTGACTCAAACTGGTCCAATTCCAATCCGTCCCGACATAGCAACTTAAGTCATCCTTATAAAGCAGGGGTTGGCAGGCTTTTCCTGTGAAGGGCCAGGGAGCAAATATTTTCAGCTTTGGAGGCTAACTGGTCTCTCTTGCCACCACTCAGTTCTGCTGCCATAGTGAGAAAGCAGCCACAGACAACACGGAAACGGACGGGCCTGGCTGCATCCCCTATTTTTATTTACAAAAACCAGCTGAGGGCTGGATTTTGCCAGCGGGCTATAGGTTTGTTGATCTCTGTTTTAAAGGATAAATTGAACCATGCCATTCCTCTATTTAAAAACCCTGCAGCGACTCCCACTGCAACCAGAATAAAACCGAGGCTCCTTGCTCTGGGCCCAGCCACTCCTCCAACCTCCCCTCCCCCACCTCGCCCTGCTCTCTCTCCCCACCCTTCCCGTCCTTGAACTTGCCAGGCTTGTGTGTCCATCTCCTGGCCCTGCACTGACTCTTCTTTCCCAGCCTCTTCCTCATCACTTAGGTCTCAATTCAAATGTCAGCCCCTCCAGAAAGCCTCCCCTGACCACCCTCCCCTTGATCTTGATTATGGTGCCCTACCTGAAATATGTTATGGCCTTTCCATCCTCTCCCTGACCCACAAAATCGTGACTTTATGAGAGCACGACTCCTATCTGTCTGGCCACAGAAACTCCACTGTACCAAACAGTGCACGGTGGGTAGGTCTGCAATACACGCTCACTGATGAGCTTCACACAAGTTACCAAATGTTTCTGGGCTCGGTTTCCTCAGCTGCAAAATGGGGGCTGTGAGACCCGCTGTAAAGTGGCTGTGGTACTGAGCACTGGGCCCGGCACATGCTAAGGCCCCTCTCAGCATCTCTGCTCTCACCATCCTGGTGAGGAGGGAGCTCTGTGTCGCTCTGACACCTCTTTTTCTCTCGTGGCCTCTGTTATCTCTCCCATCCACCTCAGCTGCCATTCCTGAATGTCACTCTGGATCAGCCCTGTGCCCCAGCTGCTACATGTCACACCCCAGTGATGCAGGGGTTAGGGACCCAGCCAAGCACGCCGAGGCTCAGGAGGCCGGGTGGCCTACTCTGGAACCAGGACTCAATCCAGAACAGGCCCCATGACCAGTGTCCCTCCCTCCCCTCCTGGCCCCCTGCTGCCCCGGCACAGGGTGGCTGCCCTGGCACAGGGAAGAACAGGCAGGACTTCCCGTGGGTCCAGCCCAAGCCCTTTCCCGTGTCACTCTGTCGGGCTGGACTCAAGAGCAGAAAGCCTTCTGCGTGTCCAGCTCCGTGCCGGTGCCGTCACGGACACCCTCTCAAAGAGTCCTCAGTATACCCATTTCACAGATGAGGAAGCTGAAGCTCACAGAGCGGCTGCCACTTGTCCCAGCCCGGCTGTGCGGGGAGCGGGCTCTTACCCGATAGGCCGCCTTGAGGCCCCCGTTGTCGGCGATGTTCTCCCCGAGGGTGTGGCGGCCGTTCACGGGCTCCCCGTTCACGCTGTAGTTGCCGTACTGCTCCACCATGCACTCCGTCTGCCGCTTGAAAGCCTCCACGGACGAGTTCTTCCACCAGGGCCGGAGGTTCCCGTCCTTGTCATACTCCCGTCCTGCAGGGTCAGAGGGAAGTGTCAGGTCCCGAAGAAGGGGAGGCAGGCAGGGGCCTGCGGCTGCTGACGGCACCTCTCCTCCAAGGGAGAGCCGGGCGCATCTGTCTGCACCCACTGGCCCCCCTGGACTGGGGGGGCGATGCTGCTGAGCGCTGAACTGCCGGATGAATGAGCTGATCTGAGGGGGGCGGGGTGGGGGGGTGAAGGAACACGATCCAGGCAAAGGACCAGCACGTGCAGTTTCCACGGACTCACTGTCAAGGCCAAGAGGGGTGAATGGAGCTGGTGGCATTAGGGTGACAGTCTCAGAGGTCCTGCCTCCTCCTTCTTGGCCTTGGGGCCCCCAAAGCAAGAGGCAACAAGGAGGATTCTGAATGTTGGCTGGTGAGGAGGAAAATGACCTCAGCTCCCCTGACTGTGATCAGACCAGAGAAGTCTCTGGAGTAGTGGACAGGTGTACGCGCCCCCGAGGACTGGACACCCTCCAAGAGCAGGGTGCTCCACTGTGCGCCTGACACGGTCCTCATAATCACCACACGAGGCTGGGGCCATCATGCCCATTTTACAGACAAGGAAACTGTCTTGGAGGAATGATGGGACTTGCTAAAGTTCATATAACCAGCAGGAGGCAGAGTCAGGATTTGAACCCAGATCCTGTCTCGAGGCTAAGACCCTTAGAGGTGAAGGAAGCAAAAGGAAATCAGTGGGGCCAGGAAGCTGATGGGCCCCTCTGAAGGGAACCCCCAGGAACCCATACCTTGATCATCAAAAGCATGAGTCAGCTCGTGGCCCACGACGACACCGATACCGCCAAAATTTAAGGCCCTGGAGGAGAGGACACGAAGGTGAGAGGGTTGCCACGAGGGGAGGGATCCCTGCAGCCTGAACCTGAAGCCAGTCAGAAGCCGGGTGGGCCAGCTGTGGTCAGTCTGTGCCCAATGGACACCAAGCACCGGGCTAGATGTTCCGCAGAACCGCACTGTCCTCTTTGGTCATCTCCAAAGAGTTAGGTGTGAGTAGCCGACTCTATAAATGAGCAAATCAGGGCTCGGAGTGGTGCAATCACTCTGCCCAAGGGCAAAGTGAGGCCCGTGTAGATTTCCTTTCTGAGACAGGGCCCTCCCCCTTCCCAACTGCCTGGCTGTGACTGCTCTAAAACGCAGTTAGGGGCACATCCCCCCAGGTTCCCGCTGTGCAGGGGCTTCCAGAACTAGGAGACCCTGGAGGGAAGCATAGGGAGTGAGGATGTTGTCTCTGCAACTTTTCTGAATGTCTCAAGCTCTCTGGGTCAGTGGGGCAAAGGGCACCCGGTGAGACTGGCTCGGTCATGTGGTCAGCTGTGGGCCACAGGGCTGGGTTGGGGGTCCCCTGAGGGGCAGGGGAAGGAGATGGGGCGGGAGCACCGGGAGCACCGTACATGGGTGAGGAGCGGGTGTAGAACGGAGCCTGCAGGATTCCGGCTGGAAACACAATCTCATTCTTGGTGGGCGAGTAGTAAGCATTCACCATGGGGGGAGTCATGCTCCACCTGCAAGCAAGACGCACGTGAGAAGACAGGACAGCCTGGGGGAAGGGCATGTGGGGACAGTCCACTAGGAGGGTAGCAAGAGCCTTAAACGTGTGGGTTCCCGTTAACCCCAGGCACACAAGTACAGGGACATCCGTAGCAACACTTTTTGAGAGGGGGAAACCGGAAAACACCTAAATGTCTATAAATAAGGGATCGGTTAAAACTGTCCTCATGCCACACAATGGGCCTCTGAGGCTCTTACAAAGAGCTCGATGGACCATTACATAGCGAAACATCATCATCATCTCAGCTCAGAATGCATCCATCAGCAATTCTCAAAATGTGGTCTGTGGATTCCTGGCCGGGGTAGGGGGTGGGGTGTTCAGTTCCCTTTCAGGGGTCTGTGAGGTCAAAACTACTTTATTAATAACACTGAGGCATTATGTGTCTTTTCCACTGTGTTGACATTTACACTGATGGCGTCAAAGCAACGGTGGGTAGAACTGCTGTAGCCTTAGCAGAGTCATGGCACCGACTGTTCTAGTGGCCACTGATGTAGCCTAATTATTAATTTCATTAAAGCCAGACCCTTGAGTATAGGTCCTTCAATACTGTGTGACCACACAGGAAGTCTACATAGCACTTCTGTTTTTTCCCCCAGAACCTCATTTGTACTTGAGAGAGCAACTGACAAAGAAGGGCATTTCAGACGTGGATATCTGGCAGACATTTTCTTGAAAATGAGCTCGTCACCTCAAGGAAAACAAATGACACTATTTGTCGCCAATGATAAAAATTCAAGGTTTCGGCCCAGCTGGTGTGGCTCAGCGGTTGAGCATCGACCTAGGATCCAGGAGATCACAGTTCAATTCCTGGTCAGGGCACATGCCTGGGCTGTGGGCTCAATCCCCAGCAGGGGGCGTGCAGGAGGCAGCCGATCAATGACTCATCATTGATGTTTCTCTCTCTCTCCCTCTCCCTTCCTCTCTCTAAAATCAATAAAAATATATATTTTTTTTAAAAATTCAAGGTTTCAAAAAAAAATTAGATGTTTCAAGCAAAAATTAAAATTCTGAGTAACTTGTACTGGTCACCACAAACATCAGCTTCCCAATCTTAGACTTTTCTCAGCGGGTCAGTGGTGATATTAACAGATATAGATTTTTTGTACATTGTATAATGAAAGCATCACTATTTGGAAGATATATGAAACTCAGTGAACCACTGTTTTCCAAATGACCNATTTTTTAAAAATTCAAGGTTTCAAAAAAAAAATTAGATGTTTCAAGCAAAAATTAAAATTCTGAGTAACTTGTACTGGTCACCACAAACATCAGCTTCCCAATCTTAGACTTTTCTCAGCGGGTCAGTGGTGATATTAACAGATATAGATTTTTTGTACATTGTATAATGAAAGCATCACTATTTGGAAGATATATGAAACTCAGTGAACCACTGTTTTCCAAATGACCATTGTGTGGTGTTAAAAATCATGCGTGGGTGAAAGAGCCATCGAAGTGTAAGACAGACGGATGGATTTTAGTTATACAATGCATTGTGATAGACTGAATGCAATACAGAAGTACACTGTATGNTAACAGAGCATGAAAAGTTAGTGGATATAGTTTCCCATTCCTCAGTGCAATTAGCCTTTAAAAACATTCCATTTGTTGAGTTTTGGTTTAATATCAATAAAGAATGTGCAGTAGTATCAGAAAAGATTATTAAAATACCCTCCTTTCCAACTACGTATCTGTGAGACTAGATTTTCTTTATATATTTCAAATACAATGCATTGTGATAGACTGAATGCAATACAGAAGTACACTGTATGAACAGAATGAATGTAATAAAGAAGCGGATGAGAGTCCGCCATCTGCAATTAAACCAGAGACATTAAGGAAATGTGCAAAAGTAAAACAATACCTCTTTTTTCCTCATTAAACTTATAAAAAAAGCTTTCTGGGTCCAATAACTTTTTAAGAGTGTATAAGGGACCCTGGTGGTATAATATTGAAACATTTGGCCCCTCGATGATTTTTCTGGTGTGGAGGGGAAGGGTCCATGAGGAGCAGAGTGAGGCAGGAAAGACATTCTTTCTAAAAGCCTAGCCAGTCACTCTGTCTCCTCCAGGTGAGCCCCACAGAGATGTGTTAAGGGGTACCTAAAGCCATGAAAGGATACTGAGAAGATGAAAACATCATATTTATATTAAAATAATCATGAATACAAAAATGGGCAGGAGATAACATTTAAGTGAAAAATTTTAACCTAAAAGACCAGATAGATTCAGAACCTTGTGGCAGTACTTGTGCTGTATTCTGGAGATAAAAGACCACCTTCATGTGCCCTTTAAGGGGTACCCTGGTCATAGAAGGGAAACTGGGAGGAAAAAGATGCTCAAACCCCTGTTGTCCACGAGGCGGCACCAGAGGCAAAGAGAAGGTGCTTTGGTCTTTTGGTAAGATTTATTCTGCAAAATGTTTTAGGCACAGGAGGGAGCCTGGTCTGAGAAATAGCACTGGGCTGACTACCTCTGAGTTTTCTGGGGAGACTATTAAAAAAACAATAGGTACCAGGTCTCACTCCATATTATGTTGATTTAAGAAGGTCTGGGGGATAGGCCAGAAAGCTATCTTTTTAAAAAATGTCCCCAGAGACGAGACTCTTGATGTGCAGTGAGGTTCGGGAATCACAGCGGATGGGGGCCTGTCCAGAATCTTCCCCAGGCCTGCCCTGAGAATCCACCACTCCTGTTAGTGAGGAATTAGAGGAAACTAGCCCTAGCTGAGGGCCCCTCTGTGCTTCACTCCCAGAGGTTCTCACACTCGACTGTCACACCAGCTCCGAGTACGGAAGTGGTGGGGCTGGGACATGATGTCAGGTCTGCTCAACTTAAGGCCGGGATACTCTGCCACAGCCTGGCACTGGGGGCACAGACTTGGCCGATCCCAGCTCCCACCTGTGCAACACTTCTTTGATCCTTGGGTTCTTCATCTGATATGTGGGATGATGACAGTCCCCATTGCACAGAGGGCCCTTAGAACAGTTATAACCAGCCCATGGTACATGCCACAAAGGCAAGTTCAGCCCAGAGCACCCCCATGTGCCGGGAGCCAGCACCTTCCCCGCAAGGCCCAGACTCACTGGTCTCTGTTGGGAGCTTTCCTCAGCTGGTCAGCAGTGACCCTCCACGAGAAGTTGAAAAAGCGCATGGCGTTCTCAAAGTAGAGGTCCGGGACTGCAGAGTACTGGGTAAGAGAGCAAAGTCACAGGGTCAGAGCACGCCCAGGAGGGAGCACCTCAGGCCCTTGAACCAAACCCCTTCTTCTGAGACTGAGGGCCCGCAAGGTTAAGGGGCTGGTCGCAGGTCAGAGGCTAGAACGGGGGCCTCCAGGCTGCAGCCTTGGGCTCTTCCCTCAGCCTCACCCAGCTGGGGCTTGGCCCCCTGGCCCCCTCAAGGACACAGCAGTGTCCCAGGCCCTGCAGCAGAGCATGGGCCTCAGGCAGGAAGCCTCCCCAGCACTGTCCAACAGAACTGGCTGAGATGATGGACATGTTCCACGTCTGTGTTGCTCAAAATGGTAGACCCTGGCCACATCTGGCTACTGAGCACTTCAAATGTGGTGTGACCTTTAACTTTAATTTAACTGTAATTTATAAGATTTTGATTAATTAGCCATCTATGGCTAGTAGCTACCATACCCGACAGCACAGATCTCATAAATCAAGTTTCAGCTCTGAAACGTCAGGGGACACTGCGCATCTCCCTCAGCCTGGCCTTTCAGCAGTTTTCAGGCACAAGGTTGTCCCTCGGACCCCAGCCAGGGCTTTCTGGCTTTACGCCAGGACCGAGTACGATGCTGGGCCCTGCGGGCAGGCTCGGGTCCTCCGCGCTGTTTCCAGGAGCCCCTGGTCTCCTGGCCTGATACTCCGGAGCCTCTTAAATTATTCTCAAGGGTGAAGGCTGCAGAACGAGACTCACATTCTCAGAAGCGATCTGAATAGTCTTAGGTTTTAAATATAACCGTGATGAGAGGTTATAATTGAAAAATGCCTGAATTTATGAATTTCAATCACAAAAATATAAAATTTAAGGGCAGAAGCACAATCCATTTGCCCAAAGTTCTAACCACCAGGGATACGTCAACCACCCTTGTTGCCCAAATGAAGCTTCGACGTGCATTTGAGATTCACGCTTCCTTTTTCCTGTTAGCATTTCAGGTGCCAAACCAGGGGCCCAGGTTTCTCTGGGAGGGTGGGGGGACCCCGGGTAGGAGGTAACTCTGGGCTGGGAAGGAAGAGTTGGTATGAGGGGCTCCACGCTGCACTCTGCCCCTGATATTACAGGGGCCCAGTGCTCTCTGTACCTTCTAGGGTCTATTTCCCTCCACTAGTTACCACTCATTAAATATAACTGACCACTTCCAGAGGGGCACGAGGCACTGTTCTGGCACTGACTGCTGGGCACTGGTGCTGGTGGCTCCAAGGAGGCGGGGGCCTCCGGCTGGCCCAGGAGATGGAGCAGGGAACAGCTTCCTCATGCCTGGTCCACCCCCAAAGCCCACAGCTCACCATTTCAAGGTGTCGTCACAGTCACAGAGCCTCCAGCGCCTCATCCGGACCCAGCCTGCCGCTCCCCTTTCCCAAATGGGGACCCCAGGGAGCATTTGGAAATGCAAAGGGGCAGGTAGGAACCACTCACATCATTGAACACTTTGTCGAGCTCCTTGGGGTCCATGATAAAGTTGGGGTAGCCTATCATGTTGTAGATGGCATCAGCCTGGAGAGGGGAGACAAAGAGGACAGTGAGTGCCCAGTCGGGCTCTGAGGGTGCTGGGCTCAGGGTGTGGGCCAAGGAGACACAGGGCCAGGCTCCTTCCACCCCAGGGTTTCCATATCTCTTTCTGGAAAGATTCATCTCCTGTCTAAATTCTACTTATCTCTTGGGTCTCACTTAAATGTCACTTCCTAAGGGAAGCCTTCCCCGGTCCCCACCCCACCAAGCACATCAGATTGTCCACTCTCTATCAGACACCTCACATCTCCCTGCACATTCAGCATGTGGTTTTCATCAGTCATTAATGCAAGCACGTGTTCAAGGCTGTCCCTCCATCCTGCCGGGCTGCCCAGCCCGAGGGCAGGGTGGCATCTAGATGCGGTCTCTCCTTCGCAACCCCCGTCAAGCACCCGGTGAGCCTCACCTTTTCCTTGGCTGCCTTCCGAGTGTCTTCATCCATCCACTTCAGGGTGCTCAGGCTTTCCTCAAACGCCTTCTTGATCTCCAGGATGATCTCGCTGGCCTGTGGAGACAGAAGCAGAAGCTGAAGCTGAAGCTCGGGGCCGTGGGTGGGCACCCAGTGCAGGAGGACAATGCGAAGCAAAGACTAAACTCAGGTCTTGGCTCAATGCCGCAGGCTCCCAGGCGCTGGGCTAAGGTGGGGGGGGGCCACAGCCATGTTCCCCAAACTTGTTCCTCAGAACACTAGCATCCCATAAGAAAAGGCTAGACTTCCGTAAACGGGGCTCCATGGTCAGATACAGTTAGGGCAAGCTTTGAGAATGCAGGAAAAGTCTTTGCTGCGGGACTTTTCAGAGCCTTTAAGGTGTACCATGCAGTGCAATTCTTTCTGGAAAGGGTTAGAATACATAGCCTTTCCCAGACTTACTGGACCACAGAATCCCTTTTTGATGGAATGGGCTTTGAAATCTAGAGAGCTCAAGTTTAAGGAGCAGTTTCAGAAACACTCTGCTCAGGCTGGGGAGGAACGTCTGTTCTCAAGGGTGACACTGTCACAGGCAGACCAGGCAGCTGAAGATTCCAGACCGGGGGAGGTGGGGCTTCGCAGCGGGAAGAGCAGAAGGGCTGATGGCCAACAGAATTGGACTCAGACTCTGCACAGGCAAGTCACGGAATAGGTCTGAGTCTCCGTCTGCTAACCTTTGACTGCAGATAATATCTATGTACTTAATATTTAGCAATAAAAACTGTAACAACCATACCTTTCATTGAACCCTTATTTTGTGCCAGGAGCTCTATGTGTAGTATCGCATTAATCTCCCCCTGTGGGTTGGCCCTCCCCACCCCGTTACAGGTGAGGTGAGAATATTGTCCCAAGTCACACAACAGGGAACTGGTAAACTCAGGATCTGATTTCATGCCTGGTTGCTGCCATGTCCTCTGCTCATTTAGAACAAACTTGTCACCCACGGAGTAAGAAAAACGTCACACTCTAGGCAGAGCTGCTCTGTCCACGTTCTCTCGCTGGGTGCTTCACACCCTGGGAAGTGGAGATGGCTGCTCTGCGGTAAGGGTTAAATGAGGTGACACAGCTGAAGGCCTGGCACTCAGCAACAGTAATGATCATGAGTAACTCCCATTTTTCAGGGCTGCAGGAAACGAGACCTTGCAGTTAAGGCGGGAGCCCCGGGCCGGAGCAGAGAAGGTCCAGAACAGACCAGAGTGTGGGCCACCAAGTTCACGAGGGGCCATCGCTGGCGTGATGTCACAGCCTGTGTCCAAGGGGAGGTACTTACTATGTTCTTGCTGTCCTCGGCGAAGGTCTCTTTGACAAACATGGGGCCCAGGGCGAAGCCCAAGTTGTTTTCTGTGTCACTCACGCAGAACTTCCAGCGAGGAAGGCAGGTCTGGAAAAACAAGTGGGAAGGGTTACTGGATCCCCGCCTCCTTCCCAACCCCTGTTCATCTGGGAGGTAGCACCAGCTGGGGCCCCTGCTTCCTTCCAGAACTTCAGGGATTCCTTTTCAGACTGGGTAGAAGTTATTTTAGGCATTGGACAACAGAACACCTCTCATCACGGCCACCTTCTAGTTCCTGAACACAGGCTCCATGCACAGCACTTCACAGATGGTACCCTGTGGAGCCATCACAGTGAGCCTGAGAGTCTAGGAAGACAGGCCCTGACAGGCGAGGAAACAGAAACTGAGCACGGAGAAGCCTCTGGTCTAGGGTCCCACAGTGACCGGAACTCTGCCACGTGTGACCCCACACCCCACGCTCCCATCTGAACCTTGTTCTACCTCCTGGGGGAGGCTAAGAGTCCCGGTGACCAAGAACCTTGGGAGGTTACCTTGTCTACCCTGAGCAACAGGAGAACCTTCCCAGACGCCAGGATCCCAGCCCCATTTAAAGCCTCCTGGAGACAAAACTGTCACAGCAACACTACAAAACTTTGAAGTGTCCCTTCGTCCCCCATCTCACCCTCAAGCCCACTCGCCTACAGGACACCTCTGTGCAGCTGAAACAGGCACCCGGGGCTGCAACCTCATAGAGCAGGCTCGGGAAGAGCCCAGGGTAGTTTCTGTCCCACCTGCTCCCCTGCCCAGCAGCCCTTTGTGGACAGTCTGCGTGACTCCAAGTGGGGGCCCCACTCCCATAAATCCCTAGCGCTGCAGAGGGAGCTGAGTCTTCTGAACCCTGAACAACAGATGGCAAAAGCCACCCAGGTCAGGGCAGCCTGCTTCATAACAGGCCTCAACTGAAATCAGCCCGAACTCCCATCAACTGGCAGATGGATACACAAAATGTATTTTTATACAACACACTACTAGGCAACAAAAAGGAATCAACTACTGATACACACAACACGGATGCATTTCGCAGACTTACGCTGAGAACCAGACACAGAAGGGCCCCGGGCGTGGGATTGTGACTACACCCATCTGCACCCATGGGGGGTGAAGGCTGGGCTAATGTGAAGGGGCACAGAGGACCTTCTGCTCAGGAGACTCTGAATAAATGGGGTGGTGGTTACATGGGTGATTTCATTTGTCAGAACTCACTGAGCTGTGTACTTGATGTATACATTTAATTGCATATAAGTTACACCTTAGTTAAAAAAATTTCTTTCAGGCAAGAAGGAAGCAAGAAAAAGGCACCCTAACCTTCTCAAATACAGTTGCCCAAGGTCTTTTAAGCTCCCCCCCCAGGACTCCACCTGGACACCTTCCCTCTCCCCCAGCCCCCCCTTCCCCAGGGGCAAAGCCTCCAGCTGGACACAGGCCGCACCTGGACCTGGCCAAGGCTGCCCACAAAGGAGGTCAGGGCCGGGGGTTCCCTGGGGGGAGGCGGAGGGATGGGGCGGGCGGCCCTGGGGCCCCCGAAAGAATGTGGGGGCATTTACAGGTGGGTGGAGACCATGAGGTCTGGGCCTGGGAGGGTAACAGCATCGGTGAGCAGCGGAGTCATGTTTACCACGAGCCAGGCGCTACCCGGTGCTGTGTTTATGGGGAAGAAGTCATATTGGGGTTCCTTGTGTAAATGGGGGATGCTGATCGTACCCACCTCACAGGGCATGTGACAGTCCCGTGAGTTATATAAGGAAAGCGTTACCCTCATCACCATGGAGGACTTGGGAGAGCACAGAGGCTACTTTTGGCTGTAAATTAGCTAAAATGCTAAGACTCTTCTTTATTCTTCTTTTTAGATTTATCTTTATTGTTGAAAGTATTACAGATGTGCCCCATTTCTCCCACTGCTCTTTATTCTTTAAGACCTAGTATAACGACCTCCCCCTGGAAGCTTCTGTCCACCCCACCCCGTACCCCCGGATGGCTCAGGCCCCCTCCTGTGTGCTCAGGGACACCTGGGCAGGCCCCTTCAGTGGCCCTCTTTATTCTCTGCCTATTGTCTACCTCCTTCAGGAGTTCCATGGAGGGTACTGTGGTCATGCCAGCCCCCAACCCAAGCCCTGGCACACAGTAGGTACTCAACAAGCGTTTGGGAGTGCATAGTAACAGGCTCACCTTCTTGGTCCCATACATGACTTCCATAAACTTCTCGTCGGCGTCCTGAAAGCGCTGATCAAGGAAGGTACTTGTCTTCCGCACCAGGTTCCAGATCATGTAGTTGTTCAGCAGGCTGGGGCAAGAGGGGACAAGGCGTTCAGAAGTGCTCTGGGCTCGAAACGTCACAGAACTCCCCCCACTGACCTCTAGGGGGCGCTCAGGCCCAGTGCTCTGATCCCAGGGGTTCTTTCCACACCTGTCTCAGTTTGTCTGGTATGGCTCTCTAAGCACATTAGCCATCATTTCTTCAAGGGCAGAGCCTGGGTCTTCTGTTGAAAAGCTTTCAGTGCTTAGTGCAATGATTTGTACACCACAAGTGCTCAATAAGCGCTTGTTGCTAGCCTCAAACTGGAACCAACAGGGGGAGGAGTCAGTAAATACCCACAGATTTTTCTCAATGGAATAGTATGTAGCCATGAAAAATGAGGCCTGCAGAGAGTTTGGGATGGCATGGGGAAAATGCTTATGATAAAAGTCAAGGGAGGTCCTGGCTGGGTAGCTCAGTCGGTTAGAGCATTGTTCCGATACACCAACATTGTGGGTTCGATCCCCAGTCAGGGGACATACGAGAATCAACCAATGAATGCACAAATAAGTGGAACAACAAATCGATGTCTCTCTCTTTTTTTCTGTCTCCCTTTCTCTCTCTCTCTCTCAAAATTCGATTTAAAAAAGTCAAGGGAAAAGCAGACTAACATCCAGTCACAATGATGGGGGGAAAAGGAACCATGTATTAGAAATCCATCTCTGTCCCTCTCACATACATGCCTTCTCTCTCCACATGTGCACACTCACAAACACACACACGTCCCATACGATCAACAGTAGTGTTTTGGGTAATTATTAACTAAAAATATGAGCTACCACCTACCGAGTCCCATTCCACATCAAGGCACTATATTAAAACACTGTACTGTTTCACTCAAGTCTCACAACAACCCTATGGGGTAGGTGCTATTTGTATCTCCATTTTATGGATGTGGAAAATGACCCGAGAAAGGGAAAGAAACGTGCTCAAACCTACAAAGCTGGTAGGTGGAGAAGCTGGGATTTGAACCTGTGCTCAAAAGCCAGCCCCAGGGCTCCTTTTCCTGAGCCAGCTTGTCACCGCTCAGCCATCCTGCCTGAGTGACCCCAAAGGCTGCCTGCAAGAGGCCCGTCCCAGTCCACCGGGCGCCCTTACCACTTGTCAGTGTTGTTGATGAGGGTGGAGACCTGGACGAGGTAATCCTTATCATAGACAACAATAGGCTCGGATTCATTGATCTCCACGGGGTGGAAGATGGTGTTGAGGAAGGGCAGCCAGTTGATGGCAGGCGCCAAGGCCTGGAAGAGAAGAAGACAGTGTGACTCAGAGGCCAGGTCTCCAGGCGTGTCACTGTGCCTCCATCCTCACACAAAGCCAAGAGCTGGGAGCTGGCAGCTGTCAAACAAAGGCTGGCGGACTTTTATTGGAGTTGTCATACATAGAATTCTTTTTAAAAAATATACTCAAATAATATTTTCTTTACTGACCTCTCTGAAACATGTCAAAATTCATATGGCTAATGGAACTTTCCATATCAAAATGTTGCTCAATATGGCAAATTCCTAACAAAAAGTATTTTAATGTAGGAAATCAACATGTGAACAATACATTTAGGTGGTAAGATTCAGGTTACAAATACAAGCTAAATATCAAATAGTATCATATTTCTGGTTTAATGGAAAACATAACAGTGTGTCAGTCACGCTTAACACCTTGGCTAAGTAGAGAGAGAAATGCGCAGGGGTGTCAAAGAGGTATGTACCTAGGGTTCTAAGGAGCCAAACTTGAACTTGAAATGGAACTAGGATGGGAGAGAGGAGACACAGCAGCATGGAGAAGCTACCCTTCATCGAGCCCCTCCCATGCCAATGACTCACTCATCTCCCATCTGGTGCTCATGACAAGCCTAGGAGGTAGGTGCTATTACCCCCAGTTTATAGGTGAAGAAATTGAGCCTCAGACAGGCCTTAATGGATAAGTGTGCAGAATCTGGAGCCAAACTGCCTAGGTTCATACTCCAGCTCTCTTACTCATAAGCTGTGTGACCCTGAGAAAGACGATGAACCTCTCTGTGCCTTGAGACCATCATAATCACAAAACACACTCCACAGGGTTAATATGAGGAGTAAACGCGTTAATACTGTCTGTTCCACTCAATACACACTTCTGTAACATCAACCGGCTTCTATACAACTGCTAAATTCAAGAATGAGAGCAGTAGAATGTGTGAACTGTTTGGGTCCATAGCTGATTTTTCTCAGGCAAGGCATCCAGAAAAGCACGTGTAGAATGACAACCTTCAGCAAGAAAAGAAAAGCTCTTAGCTCAGCCGATGCACTCATAGGAAGCCCGTCAGCTATATTTTAAGGTAATTTAAAATGAGCACCTGCACAGGGGCTCCTTCCCCACAGACGCACGGCCAGCTTTGCATATCTCGGCTCTTGGCAGGCTGCCCTTGCCCTTGCCCTTGCCCTTGCCCTGGCCCTGGCCCTGGCCCTGGCCCTGGCCCTTGGCCCACCCTGTGGCAGCCCCACCGCTCAGAGCTCCCGCTGGTCTGCAGGGGCTCCGTCCACAGCCAGCATGTCCCCTTCCCACCAGGCAGCCTCCAGCTGTGCTGTGCGGTCTCTCAAGTTTCCAATTATTGTTTTGTGAGTGTTTTGATTACAAAGTTACACAACATGTGTGTTTTTTTAAATTGTGGTAAAAATACACATCTAAAATTTACCATCTTAACCCTTTTCAAGTGTACAGTTCAGTGGCAGTAAGTATTCACACCGTTACGCCACCATCACCACCATCCATCCGTGTATTTCATCTTGCAAAACTGAAACTCTGCACCTACTGAACAGTAACTTCTCCCAGCTCCTCCTCCAGCCCCTGGAAACCACCACTCCAAGTTCTGTCTCTGTGAACCTGAATCACACAGTATTTATCCTTTTGTGACACTTATTTCACTTTGTGTAATGCCCTCAAGCAAAATTGTACAACTTCTGAATGGTCTGCTCTAGACCTATTTTTCCCATCTGTCTTGCTATTTTTAGTTATTTTTTTTGTCCTGTAATCTTACAGAATGCAAGGATTTCTGGGACTACAATGTGCTGTGTTACAGCAAAAGTGCCTGTATGTGTCAATCACTTAGGACGGTATCCGGCACTTAGCAAGCACTCGATCAATAGTAGCGATTGTAATCACTGCTCAAGGTCTCCCGACAGTGGGCCTGGGCTTGCCCAATTCCAAACTCTGTTCTCTGTTCCCTTGAAAAGGGGCAAAACGCAAGACGAAGGAAGGTGAGAGAGGCATTACAAATGGCCTTCAGATGGTAAGATCAATCCGTAATGTAAAATCAGTCTGTAACATCAGCTGAATCTATAACCTGCTGGTGAATACTTATGATGTCCTCACAGAGAGAGGCAACCATAAAAACCCTCCAGTTAACAGGCACTGAATTTCCACAGGAGCTAAGGTCCTGAGGTCACACAGTTGAGTGACTGCGCAGGTCTGAAACCCAGGTGTACTCACGTGTCTGGTTTCAAAGGGCAGCACAGCTCAGCTGCTGGGGAACAAGGACCTCAGAGGATGGAGGAGGGCTGGACAACCGGCTCTCAGTGGGGGGCTGGTTTGCATTCCCACCGTGACCCACTGCAGACTTCCCACAGAGCTGGGGACGGCTGTGCCCAGCGGGCTCCGGCACATGCCAGCCTGCCCGCAGCGACACAGCGGGGAAGAGCCCTGTGCTGGACTGAGAAGACCCCGTCTTTGAAACGGAGACAACAACCCCCACCTCCCACCCCGGGACTGGCTGCTCTGTGCCTCTCGGGACAGCCCGCTCCACAAACCCGAGTCCCCTCTCTTCCTCGCTTGTTCATTCCGCTCTCCCTTCCTGGCAGGGGCCCCCCGGGAAGGCAACCTCTGGGCCTGCTCTTAACATTTCTGTGGCTGCAAAACTTGGAGGTGTTTAGGTGAGATGGTCAAACAGGGCTCAACACTTAGAGCCACCTGTCTACATGACCTGCTGGCAAAGACCCCTGAGAAATTTGCCAAGTTTACAAAACGTCATTGTTTATACAATTAACAAGAGCTTCATAAACTACAGGTGACTGGAACTCTCTGATCAGGGCACAGATATGGGGCAGAGATAAACCGCTATGTACTTAACACAAGCCCGTTCCTTTAGGGACAGCAGGTGTTCTGTGCAGGTAAATCCCCAAACGCTGAGACAAGGAGTGTGTTGAATACCAGGATTTCTATATTTTCTATCTCTATTCCTTTCGAGAACGCGTAACTGAAACATGTGTGCCTAGGTCCGTCTCCAAGGAGCTGGCTGTTTTAACCAACTAGGACATTCTACTTGTGACTCAAATCCTTTGGGGCACACGGATGAGCTCTATTTTCCATACCCGAAGCCAGAGAGCACTGCTGGTCACCAACCAAGTGGCTCAAGTAGGCTTGCAAAGTGGGAGAGAAAAGAAAGATGCTACCAGCTTTATCTCAGCTGGAGCATTTAAAGGGGATGGGGCTCATTCCCAAACCCCTTTTGGTGTGGAAAGTCCTAGAAAGGAATGGGAGGGTCCTCAGGCCTCCGGAGAAGTGACAGAGGGATGTCCGATTCAGTGCTCTAAATTCAGGCCACTTGGGCGGGGCTAGCCTGGAACCACACTGTGAAGGCTGGAGCGCCTTCCCGAGTGACCGGGAGGACAGGAAGAAGACCAATTTCCAGGCACCAGGGAACTAGACGTTCTCTGTCCAAGGGTGGAATGAATTGAATTAGTTTAGTGCTAGAGACATGGGTTGGGATCACTAGCAACAAAGGATTAATACTAATACTAATTACTAAAATCTGCTGGAATTGCATATATCAGCTTCCAAAGAGAAATCTCAGCCTTGGCCTCGTCGCATCCTCTTGCAACCCCGAGGGCAGGCCTGGCAGAGATTCTTGTCCAGGAGATGGGCCTCAGGGGTCCAGGATGGCTTTAAAAGTTAGACATTGTTATTGTATATGTACACATGCCCATTTCTTCTGAGAGACACTCCGCAGTTTTCAGCCTGTTCTCAAAGGACTCTGTGACTCCAGGTTGCGAGGGCAGGGGCTGCCTCTCATTTGTCTGTCCTGGCACAACGGCAGGTGTGAACGAATGAGCAAGGCCCCATTTTACAAGAAAGGAAACCGAGGCTCAAGGAAGGGGTGGTGTGATTTGTCCAAGGTCACACAGCTGGTGGTGGGGCTGGGCCAGAGCAGTCTTCTGACCCCCGCCCCCCGCTCACGGCTCACACCACTCCAGGCTGCTGCGTCTGCCGAGTCCTTCCCACCCGGAAAGCTATGCAGGGGGAGGGAGGAGAGGCCTTTCCTTTCTTGCCTGGAAGAACAGAACAGAAGCAATGGGGACTGGGTGCCTGGGGCAGAACCCGATGGCCAGGCTGGGGCTGATGTGCCCAGGGCTACTGTGCCTTCTCTGCCACTCCTGGGGTAGCTGGCTGGCATCATGGCCACGGTGGGGAGCTGAGGGACTGTGGGGCCCCTCTCCAGCTGAGAACCGGGCAGCTGGAGCGAACCAAGTTATGCCGCACAAACAGCATCTCTCTCAACCTGGCCTCAGAGCGGAAAACAGTGCCAGATGGTGCACAGGCTGTTGATCTTCCTGACAACTCACCCAGCACCACTCACCCCGATGCCAGCTTCTCTGGGGACCTAAAGGGCAGCTGGCACCCAGAAGGAGGCTTTGTGTGGGCTGCACCTCCACCCGGGCTACGGCCCACCCACTCACCAGACACCTTCCCTGCCTTCGCCCTCCCGGTGCCCTAGTGCCCTGCTTCTTTTTTGCTCAACACTCAGCAGTGAGTTTGGGGTTGTCTCCTTGTTGGTGGCCCCATATACACTCGTTAAAGGGAGGATTGGGGGAAGAAAAGGGAGGATTGTAGGGAACTCAGTGTCCTTCCAGAAAGGAGAGCAAATGAGCCAAACTCTAATGCAGGGGCAGGACTTGGCTGGTCAGGGTACAGGAGGAGACATTTTAAGGCGTCCCAACACAAGTGGCCCAGACATCCTGCCCAGGGAAAGCAAGGCCCAGCCAAGCATTCCTGGGCGATGGCAGGGAACAGGAAGATTGGCTGAGGCCACTCGGCTGGTCTCTCTGTGACGATGGAGCCTGGAATAAGGCTGGCCACCAACACCCCATGAACTGGAAAGAAGGAACTTGGTGGGCAAACTCATGACCTGCAAGTCCCAAGCAGCCGCCAGGGGGCAGCCTCTCGCAAAGGCTGAGCTACGGAGGGGACATCTGTTTCTCAGAGGGGTTACATTCAGTATAGGGAGCCTCCAGTTCTGACCCCAACCAGATTCCACCTGGAGGTCACCGGGGTCATGGTCAGGAGCAGAGCTTCAATGAACCAAGCCGGAGTCCAATGCCCAGCTCCCCTGCCACTTAGGAGCTTCCTGGCCTTGAACATGTCCCCTAACCTCCTGGGCTTAAAAAGGGGGTGATAGGAGGAAAGAACCCAGCCCTCTCACTTACTATCTGCTGTGTACACCAGCTCGATGAGCCTGGTGCTTGAGAGACGGGAAATGCCTAGTCAGCGTGAGTTATTATCATGACCACAGTCTCCCCAGGCAAATGCTGTTACAGAAAAGCAACCTGGCCCAGGCGAGACACTAGCTTTGGGGTCCCTAGCTGTGTGGCCTTCAGCAAGTAACGCCACCTCTCGGAGCCTCCGCCAGGTTTTCTATCTGTGAACTGGGTGGAACAACCAGCCCTGCTTCGCAGGGTTGTTCCGGGGATCTGATGAAGTGTGTGTAAAACCCGCAGCCCAGCGCCCTACGTCCTGAAGCCCTGCGGCTGTCCCAGCCGCAGCTCAAGTTACCTGCAGCTCAGCTGCTGTCACTTTGTGGTAGATGAGCTCCTCGTCCCGGCGCTTCTCCTGGGGGATGGTGATGTTGGCCAGTGTTGTCTCAAAGTCCAGGATCTGCTGCATCTGGGGCCGAACGGAGTCCTCGTCGCCTCCGCCGAGCAGCTTCCCCAGCTGGACCATGTAGTTCAGGTACCCTGTCAGCACCTGTGAGACCCAGCACCCCCAGCCTGTCAGCGACTGCCACCCACTGCCCACTGGACAAGGTGGCAGGGCGAGGCAGGGCCCGCTGTGGGAGGGAGGGGTTGGGTGCTTTACCCAGGAACCCACTGGAAACTAGCTTCTGGAATGACTCTAGCAGTGCACCACTGCACTGGCTCCCCGAGGCCCTCAGGACGAAGGCCACAGGTCCCCAAGAGGGCTGGTCCCTGCTGTCCCGGCCCACGTTCCCTCCTGCACGCCTGTCCCACGAGAGCCACCAACGGGGCCATCTTTCAGTTCCTGGAACTCACTTTTTCTGAACCGTCCTCCTCTGTGCCCCCAGATCTGCATTAGGTCCCCAGGTTACTTTCTCAGCTCACCCTTTGCTCATTATAATTTGTCACTCTGTCTCTAATTGGTGGTTGGCTAATTAACGCCTGCCTCCCCTACCAGGCCCTAAGCTCCCCGGGGCAGGGGCCAGGCTGCCTTGTTTATCTCTGTCTCCCCAGCAGCACGCTTCGCAGGCACCTGCTCGCTACAAGGGGGTAGAATGATGAATGGACACATGACGAACCTCAGTCAAGGCCTCCCTGGGACACCCCGGGATGCAGTCAGGGGGACGGGCAGGCGTGGGTTTTAGAGTTAGTGGATCTGCATGGGAATCTCAGTCTTCCCACTTACCGGCTAAGTGACCTTCAGCAGGTCACTTATCATCTCTGAGCTTTATTCCCTTCTCGGAAAACAGCAAGGTAAAAATAATACCCAGGGGACAGACGAGGTGAACAAAGTTCAGAGGAGGGAGATGTTCAGTATTTGCAGGGTAACTAGAGGCCCACGGGTGGCATGTATAAAAGGCCCAGCACCTGCCCTGGCCAGTGTGTCTCAGTGGTTAGACCGTCAGCCCACACACCAAAGGGTCGCAGGTTCGATTCCCCATCAAGGGCATGTACCTGGGTTGCAGGTTCAATCCCTGGCCCCTATCGGGGCGTGTGCAGGAGGCCAACAATTGATGTGTCTCTCACACTGATGTTTCTCTCTCTCCCTCCCTCCTTCCCTTTTTCCTTTCTACTCATTCTAAAGATCAATGGGAAAAATATCCTCAGGTGAGGATTGATGAAAAAAAAAAAGGCCCAGGACCCACAAATGGCAGTGGCCATATGGCTGCATCGCTCTAGAATGGGGACAAATGACACCTGTTCCCTGCCTATTGTGCCCGTAATGCCTGAATGTGAAACAGCCTCATTCTAGGCTGGGGACATATGACACCCCTCCCCCGCCAGGGACTGCGTGTCACCTATCGGATAAGTGACACCTCTATGTTCCTCTAGCCTCAAAGACCAGCACAGGTGTGAACTCTCAGGGGACACGGGGGAGGGTGACAAACCACGGACAGCAGTGGGCTGGGGGTGGAAGCCATGCTCTCTGAAGAGGCCCACTCACCTTCTCGTTTTCGGTTTTGTTCAGGTAATAGTCCCTTGAGGGTAAGCCCAGGCCAGACTGGTCCACCTGGAGGGAAGGGCGGGAGGGAGTGAGAGGGAATCTCCTGTTGCGCACACACCCCGCACAGTCTCCACCCGCCTGGGCCCAGCTGGCACAAGGCAACAGAGGGCCAGAGGGGGTCCCAGCAGCATGAGCTGGTAGCTGAGGTCGCCCCTGGGATGAGCCCACCCAGGGAGGGAACAGATACATGCGGGGCTGTATTCCTGCCCGTTCAAGTGCTCAGCTGCAGCTCTACTTCATAAAACACTTCCCAGGGTGGCACAGTGGTTAAGTTACTCACAAGCCGCGTAGCCTTGGTCAAGTCACTGAACCTGTCTGATCCCCAGGTTCTTCATTGGCAAAATAGGGAAAAAATATCTAACCCTTAGAGCTGGAAAGGGGATTCAAGGAGAGAGTGCCAGTAAAGGGCTTGATGAACGTGGGGCAGGTGAAGAAAGTCAATTCCCGATAGTTACTATCAGAGCCTTATGGCCACACCTTGTCAGACCTAGAGTGGGCATCATTATAGTTCATTTGATTGGTACGGAAATTGCAGCTCAGAGAGGTTGAGGCACTTGCTCAAGGTCACACAGTGAATGAGTGGCAGAGATGGGTGGAAACTCAGCCTTCACAGAGAGAGAGAGCTGGACTAAGCCATCTTAGCAGAGCTACAAAGGCTGGAGGCTGAGGTGCAGGGACCAAGATGTGGCTCCAGCTGTGTGCAGGGTTTGACATCACTCTTGGAGCCCACAGTGACCAATCAGAACCTCGAAGACTCATTGGTGTTGCAGTAACCCCACCTATCCCAGGAGGCTGCATGCCCTTTCAAAACTTCTTGCCTATAAAGATCTCATCCTCGGGAGCCTCCAGCAATAGCCCAGACTCGGAAACCAGAAGTGGGTCTCTGGCCAGGGCAAGTCTCCTCCCCACCTGCCCCAAGACAGCACTAAACTCAAAACAGGCCATGAGGTCCTGGCCGCTCGTGCTGGGAGCAGGTCAGCTCACCTGGATCACGTTGCTGTTGGAGTTCTTGGAATCGGCGCTGACGTAGACGGAGAAGAAGGGGGAGGTGCGGTAGTGGGATGTGACCACCTGCAGGATCTCCTGGAAGTTGTCCTTGTCCCAGGGCCCTGTGATGTTCCAGCCCCCGAGCTGTGGGGAGGGAAAGGAAATGGAGGGGCTGAGATGGCAGGGAGACCCAAGTACGAAATCTGTCTCTGTAGCTGACATGCTCTGTGACCCTGGAGCGGCCATCTGACCTCTCTGAGCCTCAAAGCAAATGAAAGGGACGGTCTTCATTAGGGGTTTCTGACCAGGGAGCCAGAGATCCCGGATGGAGCAAAGATGTATCCTAGACAAGTGAGCCATGAATCCACATGGCGGCTGCTCGCCGGGGGCTGGGGACAGGGATGGGGAGACTTTTCCGGTACACCGTTCACTTTTTGAATACTAAGTCACGTGACTGTCATTCCTTTTGAAACATAAATTCAATTGTGCCTAAAGCTCCATATTTTATTTATTTTTAAATTGTACTTATTTATTTTCCAATTACAGTTTACATTCAATACTATTCTGTATTAATTTCAGGTGTAAGGAAAGCTCCATATTTTTAAAAAGGTTGATAATCTATGGTCTACTGCAGTTTCTCTGAGTTGGATTTTTAAAACTCTCCTTGGTGTTCCCTGGTTGGGCACATGCTGGCACGTGGGGGCCCTGTGCCAGAGGGGAGGGACGGTACAGTCCCTGCTGCCCACAGCTCCGCACCCTGCCACAATGCCTCCCCCTGAGCGAAGCCGGGAGGTGTGGCCTAGAGGGAACACAGGCAGCTAGAAAACACCCACGGCCACCCTTGTGTGTGCACCAGGCAGCCTGGCCAGCCCCGGTGGCCCCTGGGAGTCCATCCAAGGCTGACTGAAAGGTGCCCAGGAAGAAAGACTCTTTCTCCTGCTCAGGAGGCCAGGAGTCCCTGGGTCAGTGGGAGGGCTCTGCTTCTGGTCCAAGACTTTCCGTTGGTCCTTCTGGAACACACCCCTGCTCTCACACAAACACTCTCTGAGGACACGGAAGCAGCAACATAGAGAAAGATTTTCTCTGTAAATACAGCCCCTGTCCCGCACAGATGCAGAGACACACACACGTGTGACAAATCCACGCAGACGCTGGCACACATCCCCACACAAATACACAGATGGACAGTCCCACCCACAGAGATGAGCATGCATGTGTGCATGCGCGCGTACACACACACACACACACTCACACACACACTCACACTCAGACAGCCCTGACACAGGCCAGCAACCAGGCTCCACCATCCAGCTGGGCAATGGGACTGGAGGTGTGGCTGGGCCCGGTGGTAGCTGAGAGCCGGGACAGAAGCCAGTTCCAGGCAGGTGGCCCTGGTGGTAGCTGAGAGCTGGGACAGAAGCCAGCGGGGCAGGCAGGTGGCACGGACCGGAGGAAATCTGGGAAAGTCTGCTGGAGGAACTCACCCTCTCGATCAGCTCCATCAGGGGCTTGGCCTTGAGCTCCTCGATCCTGGTTTCGTTCATACACGCGCGATAGTATACCTGGGCCTTCTTTTCTGCTTCGCTCACACTGGCTGTGGAGTTTTCTGGAAGGACAGGAGACAGCAGTTTGCGACGTGCCCCCACGTGCACTGGGTGGTCCTTTTCAGGCCTTGGTTGTGTGGCGTAAACAGAGCTAGGACCCTGCCTATCAGGGCGGCAGAGAGCAACTCAGCAGGTATGTGACCGCCCCTGGGCACAGCCTGGCAAACTGGAGGTGCTCCCTGTTTCTAGCTGCCAGCAAACAAGAAGAGAATAGACCGTTTCTCCCGCTCTGGTGGTCAGGTTTGTAGATGTGTCCCTTGGTTGGCAGCACGGGCCACCCAGCTGGAGGACGGTCTGCTTTCCCCGCTGGCCGACACGGCCCGAACATCCCTGCCTGGTGCGTGGGGCAGAGGCCAGTCTTGGTTTCAGATCCCAGATGGCCTTTCTTGGGACAAAGACTAGAGTTGGGTGGAAGCCTTAGAGGCTTCATTCATTATGAATTTCCTTTCAGCTTCTTCCTCTGAGAGGCCGGGTATGTTCCTTAGACTAACAGTCAACTCAGGGGCCGTTTGCATTTCCCAAATCTGGCGAGCAGCATCGCAGTCCCTTACACTAGGACACCGGGAGACTGTCCCTTTCTCCTGTCCTTAGGGCCCTGGTCCAGATGCCCCTGCTGAGGGCCATGCGAAAGCACAGGGCAGGGTCCCATCTGCACCCAGTGAAGGTGACCATTTTCTACTGCTCAGTTCACAAGGACCTACTATGTGCCTGGGCTCCTGCGCCTGAGCTTTCATCTCAGCCTACCTCTCCAGACCCTACCAGGGTCCCTGACCCCCTTGGTTCACTCAGTCCAGCCTGCTTCCTCCCTGGGGAACTCCCCACTGCTCTGGCCACTTCGCCTCACTTCTTGTCTTTCCTGGATCCTGAAACCCCTTCCTTTGCTTCCTTCAAAAAGCCCTCAAACCCTACCTGTTCCATGAAGACTTTCCTGGCGGAATGTCACCCATTCATCCACTACACAGATATTAGATGCTTACTTTGTGCTGGGCTCTGTGCAAGCTTTGGGGGTGCAAATGACAACCTCCCTGTTCTCACGGAGTTTCCCTTCCACCACGAGGGCTCAGTAAACACATCAAGAAAAAACCACCCTCTAGCCCTTCTGCATGGGACACTGCCAAACTCTCCTCGGCCTTCAAGGCCTCTCGCAGGGGGTTCCCCAGAGGTTCATTCATGAAGGCTCTCAACACTGAGCACCTTGGGTGCCAGGCACTGGGCTGGGCACCAGGTTTTACAGACACGAATAAGACCCTCTCCCTACCCCCAAGGAGCTCCAGGTCTAACAGTGAACACAGGCGTACAAAGAAATGACCAGGAGACACCAAAGTGCTTTGATTAATGCAAATGGTTTTGGAACCCAGAAAAAAAGTCAAGCCCTTGGGTGGGGTGGGGCTAGGGGGGCCCCCAGAGCACATCTTATTTGAGCTGCTTCTGAAAGGTGAGCAGTTGCCCTAGGTGGTCTGGCTCAGTAGTTAGAGCATCAGTCAGCAACCTGAAGGGTCCTGGGTTCGATTCTGACCAAGGGCGAGTACCTCAGTTGCAGGCTTGATCCCTGGCCCTGGTCGGGGGCACATGCGGGAGGCAACCAATCGATGTATCTCTCTCTCATTGATGTTTCTCTCTCTCTCTCCTCCTCCCTTCCGCTCTCTCTGAAAAGCAATGGAAAAAATATCCTCGGGTGAAGCTTAAAACAAAAAGAAAGGTGAAAAGTTACTCACCAGGTAGAAATGAGGGGAGAAGGGCACTGGGTTTGGGGGGAGTTGGAGAGTGTGAGGAAAAACAAGCATAAAAGGGCATGTAGTTTGGAGAAAAGAAATCCATTTGGCGCAGCCAGTTGGTGCAAAGGCCACGAGTCACTTCCTGACGAGTCTAATCAGCTTTCCGGGCCCGTGTCCTGAGAGGTCCCCTGGCCCCAGTTCTTACCCTAAACAGCCTCAGAGTTTCCACTGGTTAGAGAACGTCAGCCCTGCCTGGCTGGAGTCAAGGTGACAGCCCTGAGGGGGGATGACAGAAGGCCAGGGGCCGCAGTCATGAGCAGCGATGGGGCTCAGCGTCTGGACAGCACAGGCTGCACTGCAGCCTGGCAGCACCTGCAGGGCCCTGAGCCCCTCTGGAGCAGAAGAGCCTCCGGGAGCGGAGGCAGGGACAGCTCTCAGCTCCTCAGGCTCAGGAAGCAGCACAGCAGGAAAGCTGAGCGTTCCCCATCCCCTCCCAGGGGCCGCGTCTCTATGACAACGCCTCCGGGAAGGGACAGCAGGAATCCTCACTGCTTGTCCGGGCCTGGAAGCAGCAGCTGGCTGGCCACATCTGGCTCTGGCCGTGACCCTGAAATGCCACGGCCAGCGTCAGAGGCGGCACACTCTGAGCTCTGGCCCGCGAGCGGGCCTGGCACCTCCCTCCCGCAGTGCCCCAAGGCCACCCAGATAAGAGGCCCAAAGAAAGGCTTCAGGAACAGGCTGGCTGTGCTCATTACTTAACTTCCAGGCTGTCCTCCTTCCCCCACACCTGTCACTGGGAGGGGCGGAAAGCATCCAGCGCCTTCTCTCCTCCTGAGAGGCTGCCTCTGCGAGCTCCAGCTCCCTTCCTGTGAGCTCCACCCTGGGGGTCACATCCCCTTGTTTTCCCACAAATGTTATTAAGTTCTTGTGGCCTGGTGGCTTCCGGGCTGAGGCTGGAGGTGCCATGGGCAAAAGGATGCGAGTCTGCCTGCGTAAGGCCCACAGCCTGCATGAGGGCGAGCGAGCCAGCCAGCCATATGACAGTCACAAAGGTCTCGGATTACACAGTGGGGTGAACGTGATACGTCCCGGAGGCCTCGAGAGAGGATGGCCCGCGAGGCCGGGATCCCTGCCTGAGCTCTCAGGATGAGCTCAACGTGGAGTGGACGTGGGGCTGTGCCTGGGCTGCCTTACTCACTAGTCCACATGCTGGTTATCCGTGTTTCCCCAGCACCAGGTGGGCACACAGCCCTCAGCTACATCTGCTGAAAGCACAGAGCCCCGTGCCTGCTGCTGAGAAGGAAGGACACCCTATCTGGGGGTCGAGGGGTGATGAGGTCGGTGCCAGCTGCACACTTGCATGGGAGGAAATGAGGCAGGTGGGACAGGAAGGGACAGGAGCAAGGGTCCCACCAGCAGTCAGTGTTCAGACCCCCTGGATATTCCCACGCTGACGCAGGCTGGGGCAGGAGCCCAGGAGGAGGGAAAGCTCATGGAGCGCAGGGGACAACTGCAGCCCACTCTCCCACCTCCTCGCAGGGCACCTACTACCTGGCAGGCACCAGGGGGACAAGAGCTGAAGGGAGATGGCCAGGTGGGAGGCAACTGTAACAGACCCTGTGAGTGGTGAGGGGCCCGGGCCAGGTGGCAGCAGAGACGCGGCGAGAAGCAGTAGGAGGAGAGAAAGGAGTCGAGCCTGCTGCCCAGTTTCCTTGGCTCAGGCCAAGGGGTTGCTGTGAGGTGTGGAAGGCCGAGGTGGGGCAGGTTTACACGTTTTAATTGGACATGCCTATTAGGCATCCAAGTGGAACTCTGGGTGGGAGCTTATAGAGCCGTGTCTTGAGCTACTTGGAGTCCGAACAGACACTGCAGTGTACAAGCTCCTTAAAACTGGCTATGTGGCCCCAGACCACTCATTGTCAACAGGGCAATATTGCCCCAAGGGGGAGAGAATTAGTTCTTAGGGGGCAGAAACAACTTACTCTTCCTATGTGCACATACAGTAGATGACAGGTATACAGCACATTTGTGGAATTAAAATTTTAGGAGGGGGTAATAATGAAAACGGTTGAGAAACACTGCCGTGGCTGATCTGGGCCCCGCCACCTGCCACCTGCCGCCTGTCTCCTGCTCTTCTCCCTCTCGCTCCCATGCTCCTGCCCCAGGGCCACCGAGGTCACTGTTTCTCCTGCCTGCCACACTCTTCCCCTCACACCCACGTGGTCTATTTTCTTACTAAATTCAAGTTTCTGCTCAAATGTCTGCCCCTCGGAAAGCCCACCCCTTCGTGGCCGCCTCTTCCTCCCTCTCAGGCCCGCACGCTACTCGATTTTTCTTCAAAGCCCTAATTCTTATCAACCGTGTTATTTATTTACTCATTTATGTGCTTACTGTTTGTCTCTCCCGCTGGAATGTACTTCCACAGGAAAAGACTGTTTTATTCTCTCCGCAATGCCCGGCACCTAGCGATGTCTGGCACACAGTTAGTGTGCAATAGGTAATTGTTGAATGAATGAATGAGCGAGTGAGTGTTCTGGGGGCTCCACAAAGAAAGGTACCAATCACTTCGGCCTGAGGGAGGAGGCTTGAGTTCAAAGCGAAATCAGCCACAGACAGTTTCCTCTATAGGAAAAGCTTGGTTTCCTCTAAGACATACCTGCCTGGGTTTACTTCCCAGAAGAAGGTTCCATGGGATCAGCTAGGAGAAGTCAACAGGGCAGCTCCCAGGACTGATCAGGACCATGTTTTGGAGATGGTGGAACTGCCAGGGTCCCAGTGGTATAGAGAGATAATCTGGCAGCCCAGGACCAGGCAACAGGGCTCCCAAATGCCTAGGCATTTCCTTCTCGGGACCCAAAGTTCCAGAAACTTCCTCGGTCACTTCCCAAAATCCCAGAGAGGAAAGACAGCACACCATTTAATCGGCCTGCTCCTTCCTCTGGGAGTTTACATTGGATCAGCCTCTCCCACCCCACTCCCCGGGAGGAAACAAATGCCCAGGCGGCTGGGCGGCTGCAGAAATGGGGGTTACTGGGAATCCTGGCCAGGAGCATGGGGGGCCCCAGCTCCACATCAGGGCAGGACTAGTGTTTGTCTTAGATAAAACCACAGACTCAGCTCAGACAATCCCAGCCCTCAGGAGCCCCATCCTGTGAGGGGATGTGGGGTGCTGATAAAGGAGGTACTTTTTCTGCAGAAGAATCAAAAGAATAATACCCTCGGCATTTCCTGGTGCCGGCGTCAGGCCCAGGCTGAGGTCTCCTCATCGCCACACTGACACCCCAGGTGCACGTTACCACCTCATTTCAAGGAACCTGCCTGGGGAAGCAGAGCTAACTGGGAGCTAGAATCTGAACCCAGGCATTGTTCAGCCTCCCTGAGAAAATGCTTCCGGGGTGTGGGCGTGGCTGTGCGTGTGCCTCTTGCCACAACAATTTCCACCAGTGGGTGTTAGTATCACGCCCAATTTATAGGCAAGAGGTGGGGTAACTTGTCCGAGGTCACACAAGTGAGTGGCTGAGGCTGCCAGGACAGGAGCCTAAGCTCTCTCTGCTTTCCTTTCCTTGCCTACGGTTGGCTTGGAAAACAAGAGGAAGAGCTGAAGCACTCCAGCCACTGCTAAGAAGCCCTGGATACCCACTCCCATCCTCTGATCAGTTCATCAATCAGTCCATTTAACCATGCCCCAGACGAGAGGGAAGGGCCCACTGCCGCAGACACAATACTGGACAGAAATCATTTCTTAGAGGTTCCAGGTTGCCCAGAAAGATGAAACTACATTAGCCTATAAATACTGGAAAGATAAATCAGAATAAAAATACAAGAGCTGTCACAGGGTGACATGATTAACTGTCAAGTCACTGACATGGACAAATTTAATGCTACTGGAATGACTCTTATGTGTTTCTCAGGGAGACTGGCGTCAGGGGTAGGAGAAAAGAAGGCCACTGGCTTCTTTCTGGAATCTGTATTGCTTGAATGGTTACAGTAAGCAGGCACTTGCGTTCTTTGCATGTATTAATCTCATAATATAAGATATAGTAAATACGATGGGTACACAAAATGTAATTGTAGCTCAAGCCCAGAGAGGCCCTTCGGTAGCCATGGGAGGCATAGGGAGGAAACAAGTTTGAGAAAAGTCTTGCAGGACCGAAAGGGGTGGGGTAGGAACTCTGGATGGCAGAACAGTCTGTGCTAAAAGCACAAGCCGGAAAGCCCAGGGCAGGCCCAGCCTAAGAGACGATCCTTCTGCTGATAAAGGGAAGCCACACTCTTGTCTCCTATGAGGACAGCCCAAGCTGGCGGCCTGGTGGGCGGCAGTGCCTCTTGGATGAGGCATCTGTGTCTCATGCAGCTGAGGTCACTGCCCTCCGGCCAGCAGGCTGCAAGGACATGCCACAGTGGCATTAGGCCTAGTTCAGCCCACCTGCTACAGCTCCGCCTGGATTTCCTGAGGGGCTAGGGTGAACTCACTGCTCACCATGAGAGACAGGAGAGGTCTGCCCCAGGTCACGCACGAGCTGATCGTTATAGCTGTCCTGCGTGGCCAGCTGACACAGTCCTCACCAGCACTCTGCATGTCCCCTCTCCTCCTTCCACCACCTGGGGAAGCTCACCCCACGCCAGCTGGGGCAGCCTGGGCACCCCCTTGCCTGTTCCAATTCCCATCATCTTTAGCTCGAAACCAGCTTGGCCTTAAGCCCAAGAATGTACTGGCCCACGCGCCTGGATTTTTTGTCACCTACTCACCTGCCTCCTGCCTTTTCAGGGGTTTCCAGGTATCAAGGTCCACAGGTGAGGGGCCATTTTCAGACTAGTTCCCAGGAATGGGCCTAGGGGGGAGGGAACTCCAGGATGTACCTTCTGGGGAAGCTGCTGGTCAGTATGACATGGGGGTGGCCCCAGCTACAGTGTTCACCAGGCCCGGGCCAGGTCTTGCCCAGCCCGGAGAGCTCAATCACACAGGAGTTTGGCGAACCAGTTGCAGCCGCTCCGCAGCCTCCGCCTGATGAATCTGACTCAGTGGAGCCAGTACAGAAGCACGCAGGCCTGAGGCCTCCCAGCCCTGGGACTGACCCCAGCTCCACCATCTCTTAGGCAATATATTTCCTCTGTATTTTTTAGTCTTATCTGTAAACTGGGCATATGTGGCCTATGCCACAGCTTTAACAAAATACAAGCCAACCGCCCAGCATGATCGTGGGTATGCCCCGCACCTCCTTCCCTAATAACTGGTGCACTTTGGTGCTTCCATAAGAAACAAAAACAGCAAGAATTACTCTTCAAATTACCCCGTTAATCCTTAGGACAGCTCCCCTAGTGCTCAGAGTTAGTCCCCACTTTCCAGGTGCAGAGCTGGGCAGGACCTCACCTAACACAGCGGGGGGGCAGCTCTGCTTTGCGGAGAGCGCTTCCTGGGTGCCAGGCACTCTGACCACCACACACAAGTCGAAACTCACAGCAATGTGAACGTTGTGCGGTAGGTGGCCATCATCCCCAGTTCACAGATAATGAAACTCAGCTCTGAGGAGCTGGTTCGTTTGTCTGAGGCCACACGGGCAATAAGCTAGCATGCCAAGGCCGCCTGACCTCACAACCCGCAGTGTGGCCTCTTGATCCCACCAGACCCTGGCCCTGGGTCAGGGGCTTGAACACATGGTTCTGGCTGTTCTGTGCCCTAACCCTAACCCTAACCCTAACCCTAACCCTAACCCTAACCCTAACCAAGGTCAACTAGAGGTGCCAAAGGCCTCACAAGGGGCAAACAGGAGGACTTTGGTTAGAGGCTTATCACGCAAACCCAATTATCAGGAGCCCAAGGCAGATTGCTGCCTACAATGAATAACTCTCAGATAAACCGTTGTTATAACTTTTGTCAGCTCACAACCTTAAAACCTAACTTCATGTATTCAGCCTTGATTCCTTTCACTCACAACTTGCAAAAATCAAAGTCAATACTAGGCAACAGCTAAGTCTCAGCCTTAAGTCACAAAAGCAAGGACCACACTGCCAGTTTTTGTGCACTTAATATGTGCACACACACCATCTCATGGTGAACTTCAAACGTGTGTTCTCTAGTTCTCAGAACTCTGCAGTCTGGGTATTACTAGTCCTGCTTTACAGATGAGAAAACTGAGGCTCAGGGATAAGTAACTTACTCAGGATCACACAAGTGACGGGACAGGCATTCTAACCCACTTTCACCTACTCCAAAGCCTCAGGTCTTCCCATTCTGCCAAGCTCCTTCTTTGGCCTGGCCAGGTAGGTCCTGCTGACAGCCATTCATTGGACCCCTGCCGGGTGCTTACCGAGGAGGTGCTTGATGATGGCTTGGTTGTGCTCCCAGAGGTTGCTGAACGTCCCCCAGCGCGAGTGGCCATCAGGCACAGGGTGGGCTTTGATCCAGCCGCCGCAGGCATAGGTGAAGAAGTCTTGGCAGGGGTCCACTGTGGGGTCCATGGAGCTCAAGATGGAGCTGGTCACTGAGACACAGCCCTGGCTGAGGCACACCGGGGGCGTTTCTGGCAGGGCACAAGGACAAGAGGCCAGTGAAGGGCAGGCAGAGAGGAGGCTGCAGGAGTACAGTGCAGGTGGCCTGGGGCCCTGCGGTGCCATGCCCCACCCTGGCCCTGACCACACAGATTTGGAGCTGGATGGTCACTGGACCCCTCCAGAGAAATGATCTCAGTAGATTCACTATCTCCTGGCTTATAAAATAAGACTTCTGTTTAGTTGCCTAAAATCTTTTATATGGCTTAAAAGTACCCTGAAATAAGGTGCTTCTCTTAATTAGCCCTTCCCTCTACAAATACTGACTTTTTATTATTCCTTGCTGTTCAACAAATTCATTCATTCATTCATGCATTCATTTGTTCAGATAATTACTGAGTATATTCCAGATTCTTGCTGAGAGCAGTGTGTGTGGGGTGTGTGTGTGGGTGTGTGTGTGGTGAGGGATATAAAAGGTGTAGTCCTGCCCTAGCCAGTTTGGCTCAGTAGTTAGAGTGTAGGCCCTTGGACTGAAGGGTCTTGGGTTCGATTCCGGCCAAGGCTCTACCCCTGACCCCGGTTGGGGCATGAATAGGAGGCAGCCAATTGATATGTCATTTTCACGTCGATGTTTCTCTCTCCCTTCCACTCTCTCTGAAAAGCAATGCAAAACAATGTCCTCAAGTGAGGATTAAAAAATAAAAATAAAAAAAATAAAAAGTGTAGTCTTTTCTTTCAAGAGCTAATAATTTAGTTGGGGATACACACATTACAAAGGAAAAGTCAAAACACAACAGCAGGAGATACATCTGTCATTCATTCTACGAACATACACTGAGTGAACTTAGTATGGGCCAAATGGGTGGTGCAGACGCTATGGTGCCAGGACTTAGGAGGAAGAAAGACTTTTATGAATAGAAGGAACTATAAAAAATCCCACTGAACACAAGGCAGGAGAGTGAAGTCATTGAATCCTCAAAAAAACCAAAACCAAAACAACCCTAAGAGATCATTTTGTTTACGGCTGTTTTTACATAGAGGAAACTGAGGCACAGAGAAGCTAAGCACCCTGCTTAGTGGCCAAAGGGATCTGAACCCCACCCTCTCTCAGCCACGTCTGCTTTGGGCCTAGAAGGGAGCTCTCCTGGTGAGGACCCAAACACTGCCAGGAGGCAGGGGAGCCCCACCTGTAGGTATAGCGTAAGGAGGGACAGTAGTTGGTGCAGGTGGGCAGTGAGCAGGGCTGCGAATCCTACAAAGTGTCCCCAAAACACAATCAGCTTCCTCTGCAACGTGGGCAGAGGTGTGAGGGTTGTCCGAAGGCCAGGGGCAAGAGGAGGGGGCCAGACCCCTGCCTCAAGGTTGATCGGTGGGTTCTAGCAAAGGAACCAAACTGTAGGCAGCCTCCGCCATGGCCGAGCCCGAGGTAGCGAGATGGACCTGACTCTGCAGGAGACAGAGGCCGGCGGTGCAGGCCGGTGACTTAGAACAGGCCCAATGGGATCATCTGTTGACACAGCTGTGCCGGCGACAAGAGGGACTGTTTACTGAACACAGCTCTGCACCGGGTACTTCACACACATTCGTGATCTCATTTAGGCCTCAGGACAAGCCTCAGATACAGGCATCACGCCCTGTTTAAAGATGAGGAAACTGAGGCTCTGAGCAAGTGGGGGGGGGGGCAGGCTGCAGGCTATTAACAAATGACAAATGCAAAGGCCTGTGGGTTGAACAAGGGCCCGGAAGAGCTGAGCAAGAGCACAAAAATCAGGGGGGCTTTATTTTGAGGCAATTACTTGTTTTGAGATGCCTATACAACAACTGAAAATCATTGAGTCGTTAGCATGAAAATAGAGGAGGGAAACGGTAGGGAATAAGTGTCATTTTAAATATCTCTAGATCAGATCACCTTAAGCAAAGCTGCATGGCCCGCTCCCCACCCGGGAACACGCCGTAATCTTTCCGGGAGGCGGGGGCGGGGGGAGAGAATGTCTGTGAAGTTTGAAAAAGCCTATTTACTATTACGATATAACTTCATATTTGGAAAAGGAAAATAATACCTATTGTCTTTGTACAACAAACTACAGGAAGTAAAGCCCGACAAAATCTTGGCTGCTGGGAATGCTCAGAAGTCTGTCTGGGGGTGAGAGGGTGATCCCCAGAGTGGGGTCCATCAGAATCTGTGTGTGTGTGTGTGAGTGAGATTGATTGATTGATTGACTTGTAGTTATCAAAAGGGTACTTGGGTTTAAAACAAAGTAAGAAACCAGTCCCCAGGAATCAGTCTGAGTTCTCCACTAAGCACTTACTCGGCTAGGCACAGGGCAAGGTCCCTAGGTGGTGCTTAAGCAATAATAAGCTTTGATTATTTAACTGATGGTTGGTAGGTCCTTTAAACTATTCCTGACCCAGAAGGTACTTAATGCATACTTGATTGATTGTTTCCAGGACCCCAGCCCCCCTCACCTAATGTCACCGTCAATACTCAGACTCCATCTCCTTGGGGAAACCTTCCCAGACCCTCATCCCTCTCTGGGCCCCCTGGTGAGATCTGAGCACAGACTAAGCTGTCTCTCTGTCTACCTTCCCCACGAGAATTAAACCTGAGGATAGGGCCAGCATCTTATGTGCTTTTATATTTCCTTTGCCTAGCATTGTACTTGGCACCTAGCACTGTCCAATACATTTGTTGAATGAATGGATGAATGAATGAATGAGCTTTGTCCACCACTTGGGTCATCACCTGTGGAAGCAGAAAGTATTTCTTCCCTTTAGGATGTGCATGATTACTCAAGGAAGCAGGAAAGTCCCAGATCTGGGTCATAGATGCTTGTCTGGACAGTACGTGGCCTCCACACTGAGTTTGTTTTGCTGCTGCTGTTTGTAAAGCACCTGCAAGTTTCTAGAAAGGAAGGTGCAGCAGGAAGGTGGACTAATATGTATTTAGAAGCCCAGACATAACTTAGAGGTGAGTCTTTCAGAATCCACAGAGAATTTGCTTTGTCTGGTTTTATGTTTGCTCAGATGTGGCTGGTGCTAACACCTGCTGCTGGGTAATGAGGTTACTGTCAATATCCAGGGTGGCCACTGCTTTCTCAGGCCCAGGCACCTGGTGAAAACACACGGGTTGGCTCAGGGGTCACCTGATCCCGACCCAGCTCCACCCAGAGTTCCTTTCACCAGGTCCAGGCTGGGAAAACCCTTCTACATCCCTGAGAAGGCAGGGATAGAGGCAGAAACAGCATTCCTTCCTGTGGGCCCCTCTGTTGCCCAACCACTAGAAGCCACTTGTTGGGGGTCCCTTCTGGTTTCTGGTGGAGAAACATCTTGGAAACTCCTGGGGCAGTTTCAGGGCGACACTGGCTGCTGGAGTCTTGCCTGCTCCCCAGGCACAGGGCCAGGGGCTGGGGAGATGAGGGTGGGCAGGGCCCACATTACCTGGCAGGGTGTTCTGAACTGAAGCTGATCTAGGCAAGATCTTGCCTCAGAGGCAAGCTTGCAGCTACAGGACAAGAATAGAGATTGGTAGAGAAAGGCTGTTCCCAGCTTGTTCTCCTTGTTCCTTTGTCCATTCAATCATTTATTTATTCAGTTTGTAAACTATTTGCAAACCTATGGCATGCAGGCATTATGCTAAGTACATATGGTTAAGAGCGTGAAAATCATTAATCAATCAAACATGCGTTAAGCACCTGCTAGATGAATGAATGAATGAATGAATGAATGAACAAAGAACAGGTGCTTGATGCGGGAGGGATTAAGGATGGCTCAGATGAAGCCCTGCCCTCTCTCCAGGCCCTCAAACTTCTCCCTCATCCCAGTCCAGCAGGGCCACGCAGGTGGGCCAGCACCTCCACAGTGCAGAAGGCTCAGTGAAGCCCAGGGTGGATGTTTCCAGATTCCGTAAAGGTTCACAATCTCCCTGACGGGATGAGTGACCAGGTGACCAAGTCCGTGGGGTTGGACTCTCAGAGGCTGTTCAACCAGGTGGACAATCGGACATCTGAAAGCTAGATGCTGGAGCACAGGGAGTGAGAGACCCTGGACCTGGCTGGACTCCCCACCTTGTTTTTCACTTGGACCCACATTCTCACTCAATAAATGCCTATTGAACATCGAGTCTGTGGGAGGCGCCTGGCTAGATGCTCTCAGCCAGACAGAGAACCAGCGTCGGTCCCCGGAAGGGGCGCAGTCAAGTCGCTACACAAGGTAGGACAGAGAAATGTGATTATAGAGGTACATAAAGGTCAGCTGGGTCCTGAGAGAACAGCTTTTCTGGGAGTCCTAACACACACTGGGGTGCACCTAGATTACCAAGGGAGGTGGAGCCTGGGCTCTGGGGCCCAAGGGCCTGTGGCTGAATTTCAGCTTCCCCAACCCCTTCTGCAGTAACCTTGGGCAAGTCACTCAGTCTCACTGCCTCAGTTTCTTCATATGTAAAATGGGGCCAAAAGTAACACGTCATGGGGTTGCTATAAGGAGGAAATGAGATTACATTTGTAAAGAAGAGGAGCGGTATTTGGTCCATGGAAAGTATTAAGCAAACAGAAGCCATTATCGCTGTTTTGTTGGACTAAGGATGGTGGACAGTGCCAGCCTGTGTGCCTCACCAGCCCACACATCCTAACAACAGGACCCAGAGCCAAGGTTAAAGAAGTCCTGGTAGGTGCCAGGTACGTGCTACACATTATCTCTGACCCTTGGAGCCATCCCCGAACTGGGCACCATTCTCCCTACTCAAGTAGAGAAGACACAAGCACTGGGAAACTAAGTGACTTGTCCAAGGTCATACAGACAATAAGTTGCTAGGCCAGGATTTAGACTCGTGTCCTTCTGACTCTGAAACCTTCACACCACACATACTGCCCATGTGCCAGGTCTCAGGCTATCTCAGCAACCCGAGTCCGCCAGACTTAGCTCTCTCCGTGGCTTTGGTGGCCAGCTCAGCTTAAGGAGGGAAGCCCCTTGCACAAGTGGACAGAGCTGAGGAAAGGAGTCAAGCCCACGATGAAACACAGAGGCACCTACTTGTCCGGTACTGGATGCCCAGCACTGCCACACAGGCCACCAGTCCCGCTGCCAGAAGTGCCACCAGCACCACCAGCCGCTTCTCCACCTGGGTCCGCTCGGCCCAGCATCTCTGACCACTCCGGGGGCTGTGGAAGTTCACCTGCAGGGAAGGAGGCAGGAGGGGTGGGGAGGACATGAGCCCAGGGCTCCCCCTCCCCAGGAGGAAGGGGCTCCGAGGCAGGCCCAGGCCCCGGGGAGACATCAGGGTGGCTCTCCTGCCTCAGGGGTGGTCTGGTTCCCACGGACAGGGTCCTAATCCAGGAAAGGAACCGCCACCCTGCTCAGCAGCTCAGATTTGCTCCTAAACTTCAGAGAGTTGAATAGCTCAACCCAGCTGGGCTTGTATTATTTCTGTGTCACCCGATATGGGTGGAAGGAAAAAAAACAGCTTTTCCCTGTTTTTCCAGTAAGGAGTTCAAAAAAGAACAGGATGTTTGGCCTTGCAGGCATCCAGTGAGTGTCCAGCTTGGCTCTCCTCGAAGCCCCTGCGACAATAGGCTGGGACAATGCAGCATAAGGGTGACACCACCACAGCTCACACTTCCCAGGAACGTGGGCGCCCTTGGCTCCTTAACCCCCACAACCCTATGAGAGCTATTATTAGTTCTCTTTTTACAAATGATGACATGGAAGTCCTAGGGGGAAGACCCTGCCTGTCATCACACAGCTGCGTGGGCGGAGCTGGAACTGACCCCGAGTCTACCGATTCTGGAGCCACCAGCGGGTCAGAGATTTGAGTCTCGGGAAGATATCAGGGGAGATGCAATGGAGAAACAGCTCCATCCAGGCAGCTCCTCAAAGGGAGGGAAAATGTCCTTAGCTTCACAGTTTAAACAGGAAGGGAGGGACAATGAAAGGAAGTGGAGGGTGTGGCAGGGCCCTGGGCCGAGGAGGGACACACCAGCCAATAGCACTCAGAGCCCTCAGCCTGGGCCAGCACGGGCTCTCCTCCGTTAGAAGAGGTACTTTCTGCAATGGCCAGGGCACAGTACAGGAGGGGTCCCCTGAAGGTGGGGCTTGGTTCAGAGACTTTACGGCTGTGTGCCAACAGCTGAGCATCAACTCAGGCCATGTTGGAAATACTAAGACGAAGACAGACTCCTCATTTTCAGGGGCTCACAGCCCAGAAGAAAGGCAGATAAAGACACAGACTGGGGTGGGTAGGGGTTCAGTCAGGGAAGGCTTCCTGGAGGCGGGGGAACGCCTGGGCTGAGTCTCCAAGAATAAGTAGGAGCTGGCCAGGTGAATGGGGAAGAGGAGGGGGTTGGCAAGGCCTAGATCCTAAGGGTCACCCGGAAGCGGGTTTAAAGGATGTGGGCTCCTGCAGGCTGGAATGACATGAGTAGATTTGCCCTCTGGAAAGGCCAAGGTGGAGGGTGGCCCACAGCCTGCCAGGGGGTGGGGAGGGAAAGGAGCCGCCAGGGGAGAGGAAGAGATCTAGACTCTGACCTGCAAGTGCCCCACTAATAGCTGCAGTGTGGCTGCCCCTGGGAGTCAGGTCACCAAAGAGCCTCACTGGCACTTGGGGATCTGAGGCTGGCCACCTTGGGAAAGGAAGAGCACTGAGTGGCCTCATGGTCATTGTTGGGTATTTACTGGCCAGGAAATGACTAGGAATTGCTGCACCAGGGAAAGGGGAACACAAGAACTTCTTGTGGAAGGCTACTGGGTTCTAAAACCGAGAAAAGGAACTTGGGGCCCATCATATTTTCCGTGGACGTCCAGGAGGCTCAGAAACCAAAGCAGCTGCGTCAGGTGGTGGGGGGTGCCACCTTCTAAAATCCCTTAAGAACTTTTCGTAAAATGTGAGAAACAAAGATTCTGGCCATGCTGCTCCCATGAAGTTAACACTGGGCTGGGAGGGCCTGGTGCAGAGACAGAGCTTAGGATGCTGCTAACGCGCTCAAGGCTCTGGAAGGTTCACGAAGGCATCTGTCTTCTCCCGCGGTCTACCTTGTATTCAGAGGGGTCCTGAAGGGTACAAAGCAGGTGCTGGCACCTATTCTCCATCTTCCTGCTGCCGTGCCCCTGATTTGTCTCACGTTCTGCCTCTCGGGGCCCCAAGATCATGGCTTAGCTCATGGAGGCGGCGGTGAAAGGCAAAGAGGCAGGGGGCCCTCTGCCTGGCGCTGGCTCTAGGAAGCTGGGGCGCACAGCCACCAGGCCGGGGAAGCAGGGAAACCTCCCCTTACGTGGACAGAGCAACACCGCAATCTGAGGTGGTGGCGCACAGAGGAGAAAGAAAGGAAAGGAAAGGAACAGGGGGGAGGAGGAAAGGAAAACAGAGCAATAACAGCAGCTAATATCTGAGCGCTCTCTGTGTGCCTGGCACTGTGTTAACTCTGTTTTGTTGCTGGGTGGTGCTACTGTATCTGCACAGCCCCCAAGGGTAGGTACTAGTAGTGGGCCGAGAAGAAACACAGGAAGAGGCGGGCGGAGGAGGGAACAGGGACAGGCCACCTCTCCCCGGAGCCCACAGCCTCAGCGTTGGCCGCGCTGCCCGAGGAGCAGTCAAGCTGAGCCTCATTGTTTGACGGCAAGCAAACAGATGGTGTTCACTGTAAAATTTAATTAGCGTTAACTCAGAATTAACTTAGACATTCACAGTTCCAAGCAGAAATGGCAAATGGAATTTGAAAATAGGGTTTTTAACCTTTGTAATGGTCTTTGCTTGGCTTGTACTGCCCGGCTGAGGATCAATTGGTTTCTGGATAAGCCCCACACCCATCTCTGAGGGTGGATGGAATCCAGAGGCGTCCCCCTAGGCAGGAGGAGTCACCTGGAGGCACTGGGCCACGAGCAAGAGGCCTCTCCGGGAGAGGCTGTCCAGTTCCTGGGTGTAGTGGACAGGGCTGGGCTGTAAATCTGAGTCCCTTCTCCTCGCTGAGCCCCTGGCGGCCTGCCTGCCTCCTTCAGAGCACCCAGCAAGCTCGCTCACAGCAAGGGGACGGTGCGAATGTTTCTCACGTTGCTTTCGGAAATGAGGGCATGTCAATCGCCAGTCTGCAGCGGCTGGTAAGGTAGGCGGGTTAGTGGCGGGCAGCCCATTCCACCTTGGGTATGTGACTACTGGCCAAGGAGCAGAACTGACGCTTTGAAGACAGACTTGAAAATTACTATGAATGCTCAGCTCACCAGTGGGCTTAATATCCCATTTATTGTCATGTCAGGCAGAGAGGGAATGAACAGAAAGAAAAAGATGCCTTGGAAAGAGAGAGAGAGAGAGAGTCAGAGAAACAGAATAAGAGTAAGCGAAACAGTCGAGCTGTGCAGCCCGGGTTCCCACAGCCAAGGGAACAAAGCCCTAATGAGGAATAAATATTGGGTTACAGAAATGAGTGCTCGGCTCACCTAGGCTTACAGCAAGAACGAGTTCTGCAGGCAAGGACGGGCCACCACTGCCTGGGGCCCAGGAGACAAGCCAGCAGCAGAAGCGGGGAGGTGGGTGAAGCCTGACTTTCAGACACAGCAGGGGATCAGGAGGAAACGCAGCGCTGAACCACCGCCAGGTCTCCCAGTGACCTGGGCTTCATGGAGCAGAAAGCAGAAGTCAGTTTGACCAAGGGTTTGGCCAGGAGCCCAACCCCTGCCAAGAGCCTGGCCACCCCATGACGGCTGGCAGGGCGACCAGGCTGCCTGCCTCGGAGCAGCCTTTCAGAGCAGACAGACCATGACAGCCTGGCCCTGTGTGCACTCTGCCTCCATGAGGGTGTTAGGTTGGGGAGGTTTCTTCCGGAAGTTTCCATATGGCAGACTTCTGGCTGAGGCCACGGGGGCCAGTCCAAGGCAAAACTATAAGTCCTCCGGTCCTCCCCATCGCTTCTCTGAACCCCACCTGCCCCCGTGCTGACTCTTCCAATAACCGCTTACAGGAGTACCTGTTGCAGGAGACAGAACTTCCATCTTAACAGGAATTAAAGTCTAATATTCAGAAGCAGCATTTTCCAGTTCTCTTTGCTTCTGAGAAGGGACACAGCTGCCAATGGCGCAAGAAAGTAGGTTGCCCTTGACTTTATCAAGACCCCATGTGTGTCGCTGGGCAGCCTCTGGGCCTTAGTCTCTAATCTTTAAAATGAGGAAGCTGAATGAGGTCCCAGGTCTGACTACCTCAGATTCTAGAACACCTCTAAGGCCAAGAGTGTGAGTCTCTAATAGGTGGATGGGGTTGAAAGAACCTCCTAGTAAGCAGGGAGGTCTTTCAAAGTATTGAGTGGGACTGTCCCTAAAATCACCCTTGAAAGATAGCCTGTGTGTGGCAGAAAAAGAGAGAGAGAGAGAGAGAGAGAGAGAGAGAGAAAACCACCGCTAAGAATTAAATGTAAAATATAAATATGAAAAGCCTTTCTTTTTCTTGAAAAGGATTTTTAGAATTACTGGGTGCGTTTCAAGGTTTTGGTAAGCGGTCATGGCCATCTGCTCCCCAGTTTAGGCTGCAGGGGTAACTTTAGCTTTTTCCTGTCAAGCCACTGAAATGGTGTGTGCTGGGGTGTGGGAGGCCGGGCAGCCAGTCTGAGCAGAGCACAGGCCTCCAAGAGAAAAGCTATTCTATTTAGGGCATCACTGAGACATCACGCCTGGTGAGTTTCTATGATAACCCTGATAACAACCAAATCCATTTCCTGTGCACTATACTACGGGCTTTCACTTACACTGCCTCACTTCGATCTTTGCAACAGCTCTAAAAAGTGGAGTAATAGTATTAAACTCCATTTTGCACAAAAAAAAAGCTGTCTAAATGAGTTGCTCGCCGGTCTCAGAGGCCATGAGTGGCAAAGCTGGGGCTCCGTGATAGAGCTAGCTGGCTTTAAATTCTGCACTCAATCCACAGGGACTAGTTTTGGTGACTCGCAACTTATGTCTAAAATATGAGATAAAGGGAAAGAAAACCCCTTTCGGGAGGTTCAGGTAGAACTTGGCTCTGGCTACATTCAACTTTCTGTCAGTCTGTTCAGTAACGAAGGTGGCAAGTTTGGCTTAAAGATGGAAATTTTCATTTGCTAGTATCAGAATCAATACCTTTAGAGTTCCTAGAACCAATGGGCTTCAAAACCTTGAAAAAACCAAGCAGCTTATTTTTTATAGCTGTCCGTCAAGAGAGGGAGATTTGGGAAGGCTGGATCCATTTTAAAAGGGCGAAAATGGACTGGCCAGGTGTGGCTCAGCGGTTGAGCATCGACCTAGGATCCAGGAGATCAGGGTTCGATTCCCGGTCAGGGCACATGCCCGGGTTTGGGCTCAATCCCCAGCAGGGGGCGTGCAGGAGGCAGCCGATCAATGACTCTCTCATCATTAATGCTTCTCTCTCTCTCTCCCTCTCCCTTCCTCTCTGAAATCAATAAAGATATATTAAAAAAAAAAAAAAAAAGCCTAAAAAGGAGGGAGCAGTTGTGTTCTGCAGCCAACTCATAGGAA